ATGAGCCACCACCAGCTCGGCTAAATAAACAAGAGATGTTGAGTTGTCGACAGCATTGATTCACTCTGTGCAGTGGTCAGCACTGATAGGGGCTCAACGAGGCAGGATGTCCTGTCAGCTTGCTGCTGTTGACATGAAGGATTTTAATCTGACAAATATCACGGAGTCCATTAAGTTTTCTAGGATTCTTTCTATCAGTCATATTTACATTTTTAATGTTGGTTTTGACTGTGATTGGTTGTAATTTAACTGCTGATCCAACATTTGTTCTTCCCTTTGCTGTTTACATACTTCAAATGACTATTCAAATGGCTTCCTTCCCATCCCCTCATTTTCCTGCATCCCCCTCCCTCCACGTCTTGTTTTCCTGTCTTCTTCAACCCTTTCTCGGCCACCCCAATCTTCTAAGTCCCTCTTTTTTTTTTTATCTCTCTCTTCTCTCTATCTTTCCTACTCTCTTTCCAGTAATGAGCCCCGTGCCGAGCTACGTTTGTGTAATTAAAATGCACACCATTCATCTGGGAGGAAGGGAGTCTCCTTAATCTGCGTCAACCCACATTCTAGCCTCTGAGGATATGCCCTGCTGCTCACACACACACACACACACACACACACACACACACACACACACACACACTTCCCTAGTTTGAGCCGCAATCTCTCTCTCGCCACTCCCACCGCCATTCCTCATTGTTTGAGCCCAGCTGTGCCCTGCTATGTCATATTTAGTGTTGTGGACATTAAATCTAACAGTGCTGGTGTATCGAGTGTTTCTTCTCTGTAAATAATAAGGGCAGACTGTGTTAGTCATGTGGATGTAAACAGATTTAGATAGACAGGAGTGTATCTGTTACCCTGTCACAAATGCTGCACTTCTAAGGAAATCTGGTCTCTTAAGGTTTTACCTGGATTTATTCTTGCAACACATCAAAGAGTGGTTTTCAGGGAAGCCTCTTACCTGCATTTTCCAAAATATACTAAAGTATGCTCTGAAATAAAGTTATCTCCAAGGGGTTCTTTCCCCTCTGTGAAAAGGATAAGAAAGATTAAGGAGGCTTGTTTTGAAGATTGAGCTCTTGCATGTCTATCATGAGTTCCTCGTTTTACTGTAGTTCCATTTTTGGTCACTGGGGAACGTGTCTGTGCCGTGCACCAGAGTGTCACGGTATGTTCCCTTGGCAGAGGAGGGCTGACACACCTCTGTGTGTTTGTGCAGCTTGTGGATGGGCCAGAGCATGTCTAACACTCCATATTCAGGGAACAAAAGCAGCCATTAAGCTGCAAGTTTCTATATTTAATGTTGAGTCCGTATCGTCTAAGGGACTCTAATCAAGCCACTTTGTTGCAGATAAATGAGCTGTTGATCTTTTGATGTTAGACCTTTTAGACATTAAAGTTGGTAGGCAGATCTCACAAGAGCCGTTGCCTAACAGGGTATGTATTTCATATAGCCTGGAGGTTTGTGTTTTAGCGTAACTCTGTTTAGTAGCAGCAGATTCTTTATCAGCAGGGTTAAAGCCAGTGCAGCTCCAGAACTAAGTTGATTAACATCTCTTGTGTAAACCATCTGGACTAACATCTGTTGACTGAGGTCTCCACCAGCTGCAGGAAAACTTTGTTCTGACCTCAGCAGTAGAAGTGTATTGAAGCCTTGCTATTTATTTATTTATTTATGCAGTATTTCAGAGGAGTATCGGCTGATAAAATATTTGCTGATATTTCAATTATGTGGTGGCCTGTTTTCACTTTATCCTACAAAAATGGTTAGACGTGTCGAGGGTTCAATCCCCAGCCGAGCAACATGTCCGATGTGTCCTTGGGCAAGACACTTAACCCTGCATTGCTCCCGCTGCTTCTGTGGCGGTGTATGAATGGATCAGTGTTGTGTTTACTCTTTGATGTACGTCGCTTTGGATAAAAGTGAATTGTAACTTGTCTGAACTATCTTTTTTAGTCCTTCTTAATGTGTGTTAGACATGTTGTTTGGCTTTAACCTACAAAACAAATACCACATCCCTGTTTTCTCTGATGTGATGAAAACACAGCTGCATCTTGGGAAATGTTTAAAAGAAGAAGTCTTGACCTCAGGGTTTAAATAGGTAAACCTCTAAAAAGAAGTTCCCAAACTCACAGACTTCCCCTTAAAGAGGACCAAAAGTGGAGCCTAGAGACTGTAGCTCTGAGTGCACCTGTCTGTGTGATGGTCTGAAACATCTGTGATGGTAGGTTTCATCATACACCATACTTGGAAGGAGCTTTGAAGACTGATAGCCTCTGTACTCCAACGGGTTTGTTTTATCTACAACCCAGCACAGAGCTGGCTGCAGTAGTGTCAACAGTGTGCTGTGCTGTATCCATAATGAAGCTTAGAGGAATGTGTTGGGCTTCTGAGTCCAGAACGGAGTCTCCGCTGTGAAACCCAGTCAACTGGCATGTCAGCTATGCTACTCTTGCTAATGTGAAGTTAGGCCAAGTGGGTCTGGTATTGATATTGCTCTGGTTCGGATGTGTCTCCTCTCAGTCTGGGAAACATGACAGTCCAAATATCTTCTGCACTGATGACACTACGGTATGCAGTACCAAGCATTCATTATCCCTTTAAGATGGACTAATGTAAGTTGTTTCCTGGTGAAATATTTTGTTTATTGACCTGCAAAAGAGATTAAATCCTTACAGGGAAACAACTAACTAGCTTATTCTTACTGTACATCAATTTGTAGTTTTTTACTCGTGATCAATATGTTTTTCGGTCAAAATAATGAAAATGATTTTAAACATCAACCAGTGTTTCCAAAAGCCCAAGTAGACATCCTGAAATGTCTTGCTTGGTCCACAAAGCAAAGATAGTTTTTACTACCGACAGCTGGAATCAGAGAATTTGTTCTTTTTTACCTTAGAAAAGGCTCTGTAAAGTAAATGTTTTACCTGACAACTAACCAATCAATCCAGTTATGGTTGAAGCTTTCAATCATAGTTGTATTGGCAGACAATAATGTTATAAAATGTGATAAAAGTGAGTGCGAGTCATGAGAAACCAAAGCAGAGTGTGTGCCGACACTGTGAAGGAGGGGCTGATAGTACCTTCATATACTTTTGTGATACCACTCCCTTCATAGGGCATGCCTCTGTTGATAAGAGCTGTGCTTGCTCTCAACTTCCCTCATTTAACAACCGTGTGTGCTCATCAAAGCTGTGTCGTTATTTAGCTGGCCAAAGTTGGACAGCTTTGTCCTCAGAGACTGTTCTCAGCGCAGAGACTTTTGTGTAAGTAGTATCTCACACTTATGCTTTCAGGCAGCTACTGTAGGTTGGAGCTGGCATTAATTTTGACCTCTCGTCTTCCACTCTATCCTGACTCTCTCTCCTCTGCTTTCAATCGAATCCCCCTTCCCCTCCTCCTTCTCGTTGCTCTTCTCTCATGCTGATGGTAGAGTTAAGAAAGGCAGTTCCTGCCTGGTAGGCAATCTGTATGGGTTGCCCTCTTCTTCCTTAGCTCCCTCTTATTTCTCTGTATTATGTCCTCTCCACTTCCATCGGTCTAATGTCTTGCCTTCTTCTAAGGTATGTCCCATCTCTGTCTTACTATAGCTATGTTTTCTTGACCTATTACTTTGTGTTTTTGGTGGCACTTTAATGTGGTTGGTGTTGTAGTGTGTCAACAATATTAAAACGCTTCCAGTTGGTCGCTTCTGTTTTATTAAGGATCTGCTGCAATGAGGAAAAAAATGTAGCGTTGAAATTATTAACCTGTTTGTAAGGTTGGTTTCTTTGGATTTTTCTGGAAACTTTCCGTGATTTTAACTTTGACATCTCTCTTGTCCTTAACAGCCTCAAGTATATACATTTAATAGAACATTTGCAATTATGTTGGAATGTAAATGTTGTTCTTAAGTTGGTTTACTTTTTTTTTTTTTGCAAGATATGATGAGGTTTTTTTTTTTTTTTATGACATGAGGTTCAGCAAGAGAAATGCAACACTGCTGTGGTGAGTGAGCATGCTAAAATAAGCTCAAGTATTCAGTAATACAGTCTGAGCTCTTAGTTAAATCCCCTGTAATGTCTTGTGTCCTTCTACCTACTGGTTATGGCTGCTAAATTAGTAGTTGTTTTCTTCCTCTCAAAATACTTAATGACCCCTTCATGCAGGGATGTTAGCTGTCAGGTGGTAAATATAAACAGGTAGACCTGGTCACAGACTTGACAGTGACTCTTGGATTTAAGACATGTCAGGACTCTGGGCAGACGAGGGTCAATGAGTAACCAAAGGAGTGGCTGTGACAGCCTGCATGATTCAACTTTTACAGCTCCGCCTCACCTGATGTCACTGCACATGGAGTTTTGATTGCCAAACAGGCTGATTTGTTTCATCTTGTGTTTATGGAACTTGTCATGAGTTGCTTGGCATTTGCAATGTTAATACTCAGAAAGTAAAGTCAAATGTAATAAGCAGTGGACCTGTATTATTTTAATATTACAATGTGATACATTTACATTAGTACATGTTGATATGTTATCACGTTTAATTACTTATTAAGTGGATGATGTGCAATGTGTATAATATGAAATATTTATTTAAGTGTGTTACTCCGCTTTTAATGTTTAATGTGTTTTTAATTTATTAGAACTAGCATCGAGTGTAAGACAATTTACCTTAAGGAGAAGTACAAGTTTAATGTACAGCATATTGTATGGTATCCTATCTTATGGTATTTTCTTCCTATATTGATCAAATAACTTGATGGGATTGTCTGATTTATGCTAATTTGGGGAATTAAAACATTAAAAAACTATGGTACTTTAACCCTTTGGGCTAAATACTTGTTATCTAATATTGCTTTAAAAATCTGCTTACAGATTTGCATTACTGTCCACATTGGCTTGATACAACAAAATACATAAAACAATATGGCAAAATATTGAGTTCTTCCTCCCAGCGCTATCTGTAAATATAATTAGCTTCAAACCTGTGATGAGAAAATTTATTTTTTCTATTTCCATAGATGCTTTGTTGGCGGACCTTGAGTCCACAACATCCCACATTTCCAAGCGCCCACTCTTCCTGTCTGACGACACTGCCTACTCCATCCCTGTTGGGGGTCAGATCCAGCAAGACATCTGCTCCCCACCCCAAGTCCCATCAACCTCTGAGCTAAACGGACTAGATGAAACAGAGGTAAAGAAACACGTACATTCATGCTGTTGTGAATGATATAAAGAATTATCAAAGCCCAAAGTTAGTTGCTTTATTTGTGAAATGGCATCTAAAAAATGTAGTGACATTACTTCCTCTCTTCAGTCCTTCAGCTCAGCTCAGAGAAGTCCCTGGTCTAGAGAAAGCAGCAGTCCAACGCAACCCACTGGTGAAGAGGACCACGTTTACAGGCAAGACTTTGGAACATTGTAGTATCAAGAGTTTATAAAAAGTTTTACAATAACTTTCACCCCCTTAATGCACAGGAACTCTTAAGGAATTGACATTAGTTTACATGTAACAATAGAAAAAACAACCACTTTATTGTTCCAACTATAGGAAACCATAACCTTAAGGAAGGAGTCTTTAATGCTTGTCTTTGCGAAGAGCCAAAAAACCCATCTAAATAGTATCTGTCTCAGGATATAGCAGCATTTTTATCTATGTCCAGGTCTGTTGATGATGATTTTTTTTCTCTCTGCTCTGTTCAGCTTCCCTAATAAGCAGAAGAATAGTGACTCATCAGCTGTTGCCATGAACTCGTCCTTGGGGAGCAACCTGTCTGAGCTTGACCGCCTGCTGTTGGAGCTCAATGCTGTCCAGCAGAGCACCCCTGCCTTCCCCACAGAAGGTATACCAGTCCAGGAGATTATTTTACAATTTAATATTTTTCTGCATGAACTCAGATATCACAGTCTATATTTGACATATCTGTTTCTTTGACACCTGGCTCTATTTTCGGTGTTTACAATTATTAAAACTATGCACTATGGATATGAGGGGAAATTAATTGTGTAATTATTTTCTTTAATAGAAGAAACAGCACCACCACTGCCTGCATGTAGCATCATCCACCATATCCAGGAGAATGGAATCTCTAATGATGGCAAAGTGGCTCCACCTGTGTTACTGAAGCCTAAACGCGGTGTAGCAGCTCGAGGAATAGAGGATGTACGACCGAGTGTAGAGAGTCTTCTAGATGAGCTGGAAAGTTCTGTTCCCTCACCTGTGTAAGTGACAAATTGGAGAAAAGTGAATTGCAAGTGAGTTTTATTAAGTGTGGATGTCCATAAATGATGTCCTTTTTGTCTGAAGTCCCACACCATTGGTTGTGTCAGACGAACAAACAGATGGACAAGAAGAAACACCTTCACAACAGCAAGCCAGGATGTCTGCCTCCTCTGCCACACGAGAGCTGGACGAGCTAATGGCCTCCCTGTCTGACTTCAAGGTCCAAAGCAATGTGAGTAGTTTTCACAAGTGGGTAGATTTCTTTTCATTTTCACACCTAATGGAAAAGGGCTCTGTTTTGGAAACTGGTTTGTTAGAAAAAATGAATAAAATAGGACTAATTCTATTCACTGACTTTTCCCTATTTTAGCTTTTGTGATGTTTAAAGGGGCTATATGTAACTTTTTACATGTATAAATCATTTTTTTATCGCCCATTAATAAGCGAACTGTTAACTGATGTGAAAAAGTAGATGTTCACTGTCTATCTGTGTTGCCTGTATAAAAAGTTTCCACAGGTCATATTTTCCGCGAAAGCTCCAGAAAGTGACATTTTATTGGCGTTTTCAACGTCCTGCTCACTCCGCTTACAGAGATCAACAGTACAAACTCATCACACACTCCTGCTCTCAGCCAGTGCCTGTCGAGACTGTCGTTGGTAGGATGGAGAATGAATCTAACATGGAATCTGTTAGTACAAATAAACGACCGGCCTCTAGCACAACACAGACTCCTTCACAGACTTTCACGTGTATGACCTCTTACCTCCTCTGTAAACATTATGAGGGTAAATATCCAGTGTTTCACGGCCAATGATGATGCTCGTTTCTGTACGTAGGAGCACATATGACGAGCACGCGAGGGAGAGCGAGCAACAGGTTACTGGTGCAGTTCGCCTAACGGCCTGCAGTGTCACTACAAACGCAGTATTTTACTGCATATAGGTACATATAGCTCCTTTAATGGTTTACGGTTGCTGGCATACAGCTGGATATATTCAAGTCCAGTCAAGCAAAGAAATACATTTTGTAGAGACCTTGTAGAAAATGGGTTCAATATATAAAATGTGTAGCTATTCCCTGCATGGGCTAATACACATGAAACTTTGTTGTAGTTTTTTTGTTGTATTTTAGAAATGAGAATAATTTGAGTAAACTCGACCCATTCTTTACTTTCTCTTTGAGACAACTTTCTTTTCATTCTTTTCATTCTCAATGTGTTTTTCCTGCTGTCTTTCTCTTTTCTTTTCTCCTGTGTGTCCTGTCTTTAAACATTGCAACCGTTACCTCTATCCACCTGATTTAGTCTGGTTCTCAGTTGTCAGTGAATCAAGAACCAGTTGGAGACCCTTTGTGTCTTTCTGGTTCACCAGTTGTCCCAGCAGTAACCACCCCATCTATATATCCTAACATTGATTTAGTTGACACTCCTCTGCCTTTAAGTTACGATACTCCCTCCTCTACCCCTCTTCCTCTGGAGCTGCATATAGATGAGGATGGTTGTTCTGCCCCCACGTCCTCAGCTGGGTCCGCTGTAGTGATGTCATCATCCAAGAGCCTTCAGTACTCCCAGATTCAACAGACAGACGATAGTGTCAGTGTAACTTCTAAGATCTCAACAGTGGAGACCATTAGTATCTCTGGTACCAGAAAGCCTCCTAGTCCACCTGAAGTCTCTGAAGTTTCTGATGGTAAATTCTCAAGTCCACCTGGAAAGAGCTTAAGTCCAGTTAATGTTGGAAAGCGTTCCAGTCCAGTAACCACCACCCAGTGCTCCAGTCCATCAGTTGTTTCAAACAGCCCTAGTCCTGTTACTGTGTCATCAAAACCCAGTCCCATTCTTAGAGCCAAAAGTCCTAGCCCCCCTGATCTGAAATGCCCCAAGAGTCCAAGCCCAGTCCCTAAAAGCTTTAGTCCAATCCGTATCAGTAATAGTCCAGAATCACCCACTAAGACAGCTAGTCCAGTTCCACAAAGTGCAAGTCCTGTGACAGTCCCTATTATCTCTAGTCCTGTAACCATCCCAAAGAGTACTAGTCCTGAAACAGTTCCCAAGAGTGCTAGTCCTGTGTCAATTCCAAGACTTTCAAGTCCAGTTCCAAAGACTGCAAGTAGTTTACCCAAAACGTCTAGTCCTGAAACATTGTCAAAGAGCACATGCCCAGTAATTCTCTCAAGGCTTTCGAGTCCAGTACCAGTCATAAATACTGAAACCGCAGCTCCTAAGAGTCCTGCGTCAGTCATCAGAAACAATTATACTGTACCATCTACAAGCAGTCCCAGTGCTTTGTCAGTTGCTGTTCCTTCAAGAAGCCTGTGTCCCCCTCTAACAGAAAAGCAAAGGGGTGAAATAATGGATTTAACTTGGCCATGCCGGGAGCCTTTATTGGACGATGCTTTAGACAAACTTTTAGCCTCTGACTCTACCCAACTGAGTGACAACCAGCCATCTGCCAATGTTATGCCTGGAGTTGAAGACAGATCCTGGGAGGAAGAAGACGGAATTTACCCTGAACTCAGCCGAGAGGGAACTCTGACACCCATGACTGAGTCCAGCTGGATAGATGAGTGTTTGACCCCCTCCTCCTGCCCCGGGACACCAGATGCAACGCTGGACCTGCCCATGCAGCAGCTCTCTGCTGTTGAGCGACTATCTGCTTCTGGCCAAGTAGGACACATCAACTTGACTCTCCCAAAATAAGCTGCTGGCATACAGCTAAAGAGGCTTTATTACCCCATGGGGTCTGTCTATTATTTGGCCATGTGGCTTAAGACATTAATTATCTCTGACAATAAGGGCAGAACCGCTCAGTCAGATTTTTCTGGCAGTGTGGCTCTAGTTGCCTTAATAAGCTTGTTTTGGGAGAGCAGCTCCTAATTCAAGGAGCTGTGAAATCCTACAAAAACACTGTGTTGAGAGAATTTACTCCATCTTTGTGGTGTGATGCATGTGGTGTCATTGCATAGCAATTCCAAAATGCCTTGAGGGACAAAATCTCCCTGTCGAGACTATTTGTGGCTGATGTTGAAAGCTTTGCTGAAAGGATGTTTTTGCACGCCCCTACTTGCTTCAGTAGACATCACTGTGTTAGTCACAGGGATTGGCCTGTAATGTTGATGCAACCCCAGGATGATGCAAAAAATGTGTTTTTAACCACTGATGGTGTCATTTACGTAGCAAAATCGGCATATGTTGTTTAAAGAACCAACATGAACTTTGCTTCTAAGTTGTTGGCCCTGCTTCGCACTTGCAGACTTGCAGTATATTCAAGAAGTTATGAGAGGCCTGTGTTGGTTTGACTTCACTTTCCGGCATGCCGTGTCAGATTTTCCTGCATAGTTTTGAGTAGAAGTAGAGAATGAATTTAGATGCAGTGGATGGCGGTGCTCAGCTTTTGTGGGCAAGTTTGATTGGGTAGACAAGTGCCTGAAAAACCTCCGGAGCATGGTGACAAAATAGTTTTCTTGAGCCAGTGCTTGAGTGGATTTCCAACCTGAATGAGACACTCTTCGCCTGGCTTGCGTGTGTTTGCAACTCAACGTGGACTTTCTGGGCAATTACACATGCTTATGCACTATGTACTCTCCAGCTCAAGTCGGTTATCCACCGCACCAAAGAGACCTCCAATGTGCATCCAATGTACAAGGACGGAATGTTGCGACGTAAAATGGGACCAGTCATTGTGAATAAGAGCAACTCTCAAGACAGACTTATTGAGGAGTTGCAGGGTAAGCTGGGAATTGGGCGAGTAGAGCGCAGGCGTAAGCAGCACTCAGATGATTGGCTGACAGAGGGAGTCATCGTAATGTCCAACCCACTGCGAACACGGGAAGAAGGGGCCAAGCCTGCTGTGGATAAGGTAGAGGCACTAAGCAGGATTTGCTATTTAAATATCCCTGGACAACATTAGACTAAGAGTTGGAAATGAAATGTTCCTTGGATGCTGAGCTAAGGCTTAAACATGAAATAGATTAATTGGTGAATATTTGATAGAAGAGACAATTTATTTGTCTTTTGCAGTTTGTTGGGCCAATCTTTTCTGTTGAATCATTTCCTCTTTTCCATTCTGGCACCTGTTTATCCCTGTTATCTGTTTGCTCTTATGTCTCTGCTGTTTCCCTTTTCCTTCCTTCCCTCAGAAAATCATCATCCCTCCAGAATCACCTGTCCCACAGAGAAAAGTTCTCCCCCCTCCGCAATCTCCTCCAGCCCCCAAAAAGCCACCCCCAGTCAAGCAGACTCCTCCACCACTACCTCCCCCCCCTCCAACCCCTCCCCCTCCTCGAGAACCAACCCCTCCTCCCCCCAAGGAGCCTACTCCTCCCCCCAGGGAACCCACACCTCCCCCTGTCCAGCCTTCTCCATCGCCTAGCCCCCCTCCCAAGCCCGTCACTCCTCCTCCACCTCCCAAGGTCTATGTATCAGTGGGTTGTCAGACTGAGTACGACCCCATCTTTCCACCGATGCAGGCACGGATCGCCTCTCTGCATATCTCTATTTGTCTTGCCTCACACTTTCTCTATTGTCTATCAACCACGATCATTTTTGCTTTTGGCTGCCTTATTTGAGAATTTTACTCATTCAGCAGTTGCAACTCTTACCATGAAAATACTCTGTTTTCCACTCATGGTAGATGGTACCAGTTAGCTTCTTTAAAGCTTGGTTCGAAATCCAGTCAGTTCAGGTTGTGAGTGATGCTGACGTCCAAGCTAGAAAGAATGAGACCCTTTTCTAATTCTGACTTCTGACGGCACCAGTGGCTGTGTGTTCAGTGCCCAGTAAGAGTTTAAGAGCTTAGAGGAAGAAGAGTGTAACCCCCATCTTCCAGTTACACTAACTTTCCTGCCATGAGCAGGAATGGTATGCTCACAGTGCAACTGAAACCTAATCTTCCACATGACAGCACAGTTACCAGCATAGTTATAACATCTCCTACGGGACTTCCGTCATCTGGTCCCACTGGGTTACATACCAGAATGTTGAGATTGAATGTAAAATAACATCCCGTCAATCAGAAGTCTTTATTAAAGTAGGTTTGGTAAAGAGCAAGAGGTTATTTATTAATATGCTAGTTAAAGTATAATTTGCACCTACTGTAGGTCATGGCCAGTGGCTGTTTTTATTTGTGTGTTGTGAGAGTGAGTGAATACATGTAGCAGAGATGCTATTTTCTCTCTCACAGGAATGTAAGAGTCATAAAGCTCCAATAACCACACCATCTGAGACGGGTCTGTGCTTGCTTACATTTCAGGAGCCAAAGACATTTACACACACAATATTGATATTCTAAAAGTTATCATGAAAGTTTCCACATATAGGTTAGAGTTGATAGAACACATTTTGTCCTGGATATTTTTAAATGGCTTATATAGATATATATTTAGACAAGACATTTTTTTTTAGCTCCCAGCAGTTCAGGCAACTTTACAAATGTTGTATTTCAAATGTATGTAATACAACAATACGTTTAGTACTACCGAGGCTCTTAGCTGACATACAACCACAGATCTGTTTACTATTTGTTTTTTGTTTTTTTCATAGTAAGAAACAGAAATAGGCTTAACTTACCTCTTTAGTGTGGACATGTCGTGGTCTGGCCTATCACAGTGTGCAGCATATTGTTTTGTATTGGTTTCTAGATTGCAGAAAATGAGCACGTTATTGTGAGAAAAACAGCGTTGTTATTCTTAGATAATGAGATAAATAAAATCAGATCTCGAGAAAATAACTAGAATTTACTCGTTATCACGGGAAAATGGAGTACATAAGATGTATGGATGTAGTAGATGTCCACTAAGGGCTTCCGTAAAATAAAAAAAACTACAATCCAAATAAAAAGAACATTTTCAAACCACATGAACATTGATGTATTTAAGAGGGACATGGTATATGAGAGACATATAGACAATGATACAAAACCCCCACTTCTGATTTAGAACCTCTGACTCCATGCTCTGAACTTATCTGAAGTGTTAACCACAGTGGTATTTATCAAAAGGTCTTTCTGCTCGCCCTTCATACAACTTATTTGTCAACTTTGGTCTCCCATTTCTGTCAGATCCAGTCACAAGGAAAGACTTCTCCCACGGGTCCCCCCAAACCTGCCAACAAGCTGGACAACATGCTGGGAAGCCTGCAGTCTGATCTCAACCGACTCGGAGTCCAGACGGTGGCTAAAGGTGTCTGTGGAGCCTGCAAGAAACCCATTGTTGGACAGGTGATGATAACAAAATAACACCGAATCATAAACATTTCAGTACTAAAACAACATACATTATTTGGTGCAGATGCTGAAATAAAAACTGAATGTGGGGGGAGGGCTGTGGCTCACTGGTAGAGTCAGTTATCTCAACTGGAAGGTTCAGGGTTCGATCCCTCAGGGCTTGACACTGCAGTAAATGGAAAATAGACTTAAGCTTGTTTAGCGCTGTTCTACTCTACTACTCAAAGCGCTTTTACACCGCAGGTCAAACCTACCCATTCACACACTGATAGCAGAGGCTGATATTTAAAGTGACCATCAGAAGTAACTAATCCCATTCGTACACATACACACGCCACAGAGGAAGCAGCGGGAGCAACTTCGGGTTAAGTGTCTTGCCCAAGGACACATTGGACATATAGCTGCAAGTGAAACATAAACCATAATACCAAAAATGGCTTCAAAAATATCATCATAGATAAGCTTAGAGGGCAGCAGTAGCTCAGTCTGTAGGGACTTGAACCGGAGAGTCGCCGGCTCAAGTCCCGGTGCGGACCAAATACGGAAGTTGGTCTGGTAGCTGGAGAGGTGCCAGATCACCTCCTGAGCACTGCCGAGGTGCCCTTGAGCAAGGCACCAAACCCCTTCCCCACCATCAGCTCAGGAGCGCCCGCTGTCAGCAGCTCCGTCACTCTGACATCTCTCCATTAGTGCATGTCCATAGGATTCTGTTTGTGCATGTGTGTATATTTCAGCATGACTTACAGAGTGTAAAAACATAAATTTCCCCTTGCAGGAATTAATCTTAATCTTAATCATCATAGCTCTTTTGTTGAGATACATTTTTGTTGGGATTAAGAATCAACTGCACAAGTTGTATCCCAAGTTGGAGGGGTTGTGCAGTGTTGGCTCATGTTCCTCATATCTCAGGCTTTGTTGATGCTTAAGGCCCAAGCCAGTCAATAATTCAGCTTTTATTAATTGGCATGCAGTAAGTGGAGAAACTGAAAACAATTTAATTCTGTGTTTAATTACATTTACAATAATTCTGATACCTCTGTGAACTGGCACAAACACAATTTTATCTGCATTTCTTTCTAGCATACAGTTATGAAACCTGCATCTGCTGCTGTTGGCAATGCCTCTTCTTCTTCTGCCATGCAGAACTGCAGGGATTTCCACTGCTGAGCCTGGTCTTAGCCCTCAGAACCTCATTTTTATTTAACGCACTGTGTCTCCCTGCACCAGGTGGTGACAGCCATGGGCAGAACATGGCACCCTGAGCACTTTGTGTGCACCCACTGCCAGGAGGAGATTGGATCCAGAAACTTCTTTGAGCGTGAGGGGCAGCCTTACTGTGAGAAAGATTACCACAGCCTGTTCTCGCCGAGATGCCACTACTGCAACGGACCCATTCTGGATGTAAGTAATAGACACACACACACACACACACACACACACACACACACACACACACACACACACACACACACACACACACAATGGGAAATCACTACATGTCGGATATAGCTTTATTTCTCAAGCAGACATTGGTGGTTGATCAGACCAAGGCGCGCACACACACACACACACACACATACACACACATACACACTTGTCCTAGAGACAGTAGAAGTGAAGCTACTTCCAGTTGCATTGTGCATGCAGATTGCCAGATGTCACACTCACTGCATGCCTCTCTCCTGTCTCACTTGTCAGCACTCGGTCTTATCCGCACAGCGACACACTCCCATCAGGGATTTTCAGTTGTTGGTATTAACACAAACGCACTGACACACACTCTGCCAGAGGTACTGGAAGGGAAGTGAACGGTGGACATTAATCTCGGGGAAAGCCAACATGAGTCACTGTCAAGGTTTCCTAAATCCCTTCTTCTTCTGTCTCCCTTATAATCTGTTTATCCATTTGTATTAACCATTTTTAAACTTAATGTAGTATTTTATTTAGGCTCATTTTCATGCAGCTTTTTTTTTTTACACTTATGTTCGAGGCGTTTTTTTCTGTTAGGATGATGACTGTTAAGATAGCCTCCCCTGATTTAACCTCTCTCTCTTTGAACACTGCACACCCTGGTGGTAAAATTAAGTATCTCCTGTCTTTTTATGATGATGTCAATTTGCAGTGAAGAAAATCTTGCCCTGCTGCTGAAAGAGAGAGTATAAGATGTTTAAATGATTGTGTTAAATATACTGTAAGTGTGCTTGTCACTGAAGCTGTATAGAAATTATATCATGCTTGGAAAACATGAGGTAACAGTCATGAGATCGCAGCACCTCCCAGTCTGCCTCTGTGGACTTTGGTGCCCTCTCCTGGCCTCTGAAGTGTGAGCTTCTCCTGCTATGTCTCTTAAACACCTTTATGATGCTTAGAACAACATGGGGAGCCACCATTTCTCTGACTGTGTGTCACACCTATCAGCAGAAATGTCATAACTGTTCATTGAATTGGATTGGTTAATATTTACTAGGTACAATGGAATTTTTCATAGTTTCACTACAAAACATGAAACGTGTGTTCTGCACAAAGTTTATAGCTATTGCTGATATCCAACTCTTGTCCCTAGTTGGACCTTTGGGGTAAGCGGTGCATAAAGAAATGCAACATTCAATAACATAAACCACAACACAACAGTTGATAGAATTATGTATTAAGTTCATAAACCTGTTATTGTGGTTTTCCTTTGCTTTACAGAAAGTAGTGACTGCTTTGGACAAGACTTGGCATCCGGAGCATTTCTTTTGTGCCCAGTGTGGAGCCTTCTTTGGACCAGAAGGTAATTAATGCTCCTTTCTTAATAACACAGTACTCGACCTGTGTAGAAAAAAAAAATTTGTGAGTCACTTTGTGTCATTGCTGCCCTCTAGGTTTCCATGAGAAGGATGGAAAGGCGTTCTGCAGGAAAGATTACTTTGACATGTTTGCCCCTAAATGTGGCGGCTGTGTCCGTGCTATCCTGGAGAACTACATCTCTGCTCTGAACTCACTCTGGCACCCAGAATGCTTCGTCTGCAGGGTGACTTATTTGACATATCTGTAACCAATCTCTCTGTCAACTTGCTGTCATAAATTCTAACTTCATATCTTCTTTTTTTTTTCCTAGGAGTGCTTCACGCCGTTCATAAATGGCAGCTTCTTCGACCACGAGGGACAGCCATACTGCGAGGCTCACTACCACGAGCGGCGCGGCTCACTGTGCTCCGGCTGCCAGAAGCCAATCACCGGCCGCTGCATCACGGCCATGGGCAAGAAGTTCCACCCGGAGCACTTTGTGTGTGCTTTCTGCCTCAAGCAGCTCAACAAAGGCACCTTCAAGGAGCAGAACGACAAGCCGTACTGCCAGGGCTGCTTTGTTAAACTCTTCAGCTAGGCCATGTGTGTATCAATGTGTGTGCACAAGTCTACACGTTTATTGACATGACTGAGTGCATGTGTGGGTGTGTGTCACATGTCTAGCATGTCTGAGTGGGTGAAGTGATTACAGAGTCTGAGGGTGTGGATTATATCATAAAGGGGATAAATGTTGTTTCTGACTTTTCACCCCTTCTGTCCGACCTCTCAGGCTCGGCATTTCACACTTTTGCTAAAGACATTTTTAACAGAGCCCAAAGAGATTTTTATTTCAACTTTTATTCCTCTGTGCAACAAAGAAAGTAAGTGTATTTGTCCTTGTATGTGTGTACATTCACTAGCATACACAGGCGAAAGTAAGACCTTATTTGTAAATGATTTTATTCCCCCCTCACAGGGCCAGACCCTGCACCATGTGGAGGTTTTATGCATGGACCAGGGGGTCAATGTTGGCAGTTTCAAAATCCTTTGAGTGTTTAATATCTACTTCTTGGCCACTGAGTGTTGGAATAATCTGTGTAAAAGATGTATTTTTCTAGCTTTGGAAATGATTGAGGTGCCATTGAAATACTCCATATCTACATGCACACACACATACACTGAACTCTTTCGTCTTCATTTCTCTAAAGCTGCGGTTCAAACTCTTTGCACACTCCAACCACAGATCTCTTGATGAGACCGTCTTAAGGTGCATTTTGCAGGTGTCAACAAGATTATTATTTTTCTACTATTTTACAATGAAAAAGATCAGCCTATATGACATTCACATTTGTGCTCTTGTAAATTCATCATCTAACACTGAAAGTGAAATCGAACATCAGTAACATCCTTGTAGCCATTAAGACCTTTTTGTTTTCGCACCCATTTATCTGAATAGGTGCAATTCATGATGACAAAAAAGTGGCTCTATGATAATATGAGGAGGCAGAATGGTTATTAGTATAAGAATTATAGTGCAATCAAATCTGCCAAATCATAGTTGGATTTCTTTAAAGTTAAGAAAATCATGTCAGAATAATGTTTGAATGTTTCAGTCCAATCATTTTCCCTTCTTTTATTATTGCTACTATTGTGAATTGATCACTGTATGAAATCTATCAGTATGGCTGGTTCAGGGTTTAATTTGTTGTGCATTTGGATTTCAAGCATGCTTTCTTTTATGTGGAGTTTTATCAGCACTCGCTGCCGGCCGCTGTTACAATCAGACTCTAGCATTTATACAGCTGCAGTGTGCTCAACTTTGTGACAGAACTGTGTTTTGTCGCTGTTTTTATGAAAATAAATATATATTTTTGAGCTGTTTGGGCTCACACTGATATGCAGAGAGCTGGCTCTATTGGCATTTAGGCCAACATTAGTTGACCGTGTTGTTAAACAAAAACCAGCTTTGATTCCAGTGTCAGACTTTTAAAAGAAACACAGCCCATCTGATTGACAGCTGGTCAGGAATCCGAATGAGACAATGAGCCAGGGCCAAGCTTTTAAAATCTATGTAAACAGTCTTTTCAACTTGATTTTACTTGCAGCCTTATTTCAACATGAGACGATGTGCTTATTCTAACAATGTGTTTGTCTTTCATTTGGATCACTAAGTGTGCAACGAGTGAATACACATCCAGATTGTTTTACTTTGAGAAGATGTTTGCTTTTGTGCCAAATGTGTCAATGCAATAAGGTCTTATACACTGTGGAGTTGTAAATCTTTCCTGTGATTTGACTCTTTCTGTGCTTAAGTCTGGGGGAGGCTTTGTCTGCTGTGGTTTCGCCCAAAGGTTTACACTGTAATAAGAAGAGCAAAGATTAAAAAAAAAATCATCTATACAGAGTCATTCAGCAGACAGTATAGTGTTCACTTGTAGCTGATTCAGATTTACAGGAAGTAGCAGCGGGAAATTAACAAACGTTCTGGGTTAATTTGCCATATATATATTTATCCACTTACATAATATCGCCTTATAAATGTCACTTTTGTCAGAGAAATCGTGAAAATAAATAAACGTCTTTTCTGTTCATGACATTAGAACTGTGAACTTTGCTCTGCACATGGAGATCTTTTACCATCTGAATTTTCACCGGGCTCCCTGTGTGGTTGGGGTGTAAGACTGTGTCTGTCCTGATTTCTGACTGATATCTGCAGCAAATAAACGAGAACTTTAATTCTGGCATTGTTTGGTCCAAAAAGTGATTTTGTTTCTCTTTTCTCCAGTACCTTTTTTTTTTTTTTTTTTTTTTTTGCCATTTAGTTAGATATTTGGCACTCAAATATTTCACAATACTGGGTGGAAGGAATCAGCGACTTATTATTCATAGAATTATAGAAAATGGTTAGGGTATTAGCTGTCTCTTTTCAGAAAGGAGAACAAAATCTGAAGAGAGTCCATGTTTTTAAAAGTACAAAAGTAGCTATTAAGTTGCACCACTGTGTGAAACAAATGTTGACATTTTTACAACAAAGACAAGTAGAGAAAAAAGCTGATTAAAGACAAACCTGACACAAATGTTTACATGTGTTAATCAGAAGAATGCTCAAATCAAAATCAGATCAAAACAGACTAAGATTTAGCTTGGTGTGCGCTGCTAGGTCATACATTTGATAATTTACAATTTGTGTGTATTTAAAGACACGCACGAACACACATATATGTATATATATATATATATATATATATAGAAAGAGAACTCTGTGTCTATGAGGGACAAAAAATTAGTATAAATGAATAAAATGTTGGGGGAAATGCATACAATAATGTATAAATAATTGAATTCATCAATAAATGTATAAATACATATATAAATGCTGAAAACAATACATCAATGAATAAATAATAAATACACTTTGTTAAACAATAAATGAAAAAGGCTATTAATTAGGTTATTAATTTATTTCCGTATTTTTACATTTACACATCTATTTATTTCTGTGTCCAGGTCGTAAGAGGAAAAGTATATACAACATGGACACAGAAATACATAAATAAATATATGAATATATTTATTTATGTATTAATTTTTATATGAATTGTTGCATTTATTTATATCTATATATTTATTTATATATTTATTGATGCATTTATTTATTTATACATTATTGTATGCATTTCTCCCAACATTTATTTATTTATACTTTAGTCATTTGTTGTCCCTCATATGTGTCTGCTAAAAGAAAGCAATCTGAATACAAGCCACAAAGACAGTTACAAGAAATCATCTTTCTGGTGGGGAGAGGTTATGACTGTAGTCTTGAGAGTGCTCGCAGTCTGTCACAGAGTTCAGGGGGATTATGGGGTATCTACGATTCTACAATTCACTTAGCAGATGCTTTTATCCAAAGTGACGTACATCAGAGAGTAAGTACAACACAAGCAAGGATCTAGAAAAAAGAGAACAATGTCAGTAAGAGCAAACAATCAGCTTTGAGTCCGATTGGACACACAGGTGCTGACAGGAAGTGACCAGAGGCAAAGCACAACATTGAGGGCAGTTCTTGAGAGCTCTAATCAGCATAGAAACCATCTTATAAGTTGTCGTTATAAGTCATCAACTGCACTTTCCAGAATTTCCAAGTATTCCAGGTCCTGCAGCAAGTGAAGGCTTAAAAAAACTCTTGTTCATGGTGGTCAAGGTAAAGTTGAAGACTTCTGAGCTTTGGAGAAAGATTTTGTGAACTGTGCAATGCAAGTGAGATTCTATGTGAAGGTGGAGGAGATTTGCATTTTTACAGCTGCCAGGTCTTCTGATGAGAATCCCACTATATTCAGTGTGAGACAAAGAAGCTGGAATGGAGGAGACAAACTCCTCAACAGGAGGGCCATCGACATGGTTGCCAGCTTGTCAAGGTTGCCCAGCCATTCCTTTATAACCTCCTTTAGCATAGATACACTGGACCATCCTTTACCAAAGGAGATGAGATATGACGCCCCACAATTCCTTTCGGCTGCAACATTCAAAGCGAGTCACGCATCCAACCATTCACGAAAATGGATGATGATCGTAAAGTGACACAGATCATGTAAGGAATAAAAGATAAGAGACATTTTTATCCAGATGAAGTTTTATTCAACATATTGCATTCACTTAAGAATGCTGTGCAGTTGTACATTTGTATGCTTAAAACATTATGTGTAGGTTATATCTTACATAAATGTAACAATTAATTTCATCCAATCATATTTATGTTGATGTTGATTTCTGAGTGGACAGGAAGCTGATGGTTTCACTTTTGTTACTTGTAGCCTGGTAGTCTATATTTATTTTACTTTAATCCCAATTTTTTGAAAATTAGGATTATTTCACCAGCTAGAAGGCACAGGGGAAAGTTTTTTAGATGCGCTTTTTGTAGTCCATTTTCTGAACATTGTAGTTTAAACACAGCAGACTCACGTCATTAACCTCCGCCGGCCCGTCGCATTTAATGACGTAGCCTAGTGGAAATGTGGTCGGATTGTCAGAGCAACGCGATCGCCTTTCCCTAAGTCCTTAATGAATTCTCCTAACATCTTTCCTTAACCTCATGACGTTTTCCCCGGGGTTAAGGTAAAGAGGATAGTTCTTTTACATTCCCGGCAGGCTTACGCAGCCATGGAGTATTGCTACCCTCCATTCATGAGAGCAACCCATCCGGGTACTTTGCCCAAACGATGCCGGCCCCGCCCCTTTCTGGTGAAATTATTCCATCTAAATGAATTAAAGGAAAAGTTGGGTTCTTTACCGATTTAAACGTTCATGTCTATGTCTATATATATTATATATATTAATGTGCTTCCCGCTGAGGATTGATTTCAGTGACTGATTTCAGTGACTGATTACAAAACTTAATTTGGGAGATGTGAGTTAAAAAGAGGGAAGTCCTCCGTAGCGAAGGCGCGGTAACATTTGTGATTGACACATCGACCATCCAATAGCAATGCAGCTGACGACACTGACTCTATTGTGATTGGTCAGATATTTAGTATATATATTCCCCGGCGTCTGTCGTCTGTCTCTTTCTTTCACGGGACCCTTTAGTTCAAGGTAAGAGTCTTTCGCCTCTCTCTTTTAGAGAATGCTGTTATTGCAATCCAGTGACTTTATGCCACATTTAAGATTAAGCTTTAAACGTCTTTAAACAACCACTGTTTCTATACTATGTGTTATTACCTGTTAAACATATCGATGTATCTGAACGTAGCGCGGCCTACCAACATACCGCTAGGTTGCTGTTAGCATGCTAACGCTAGCTGTCGGCCACATGTCGAGCCCACGCTATCGTGGGGAAGAGTTTTGTCTGAAGTTTCTAGTTTCTCACCATGTGAATGATTTTTCTCGCAGGTACTACCTTGTCTTTAAACCAGCTGTTAAGCGATCCTTGGAAGCACTGCAAAGATGCCCAGGGAAGACAGGGCCACGTGGAAGTCCAACTATTTCCTGAAAATCATCGTGAGTAAGACTTGCGTGTAATGTATGATGCCATTAAAATAATCAACGTGTAATACTTCATTGTATGATATTCACTGTATTTTATTTTTTTTCTCTTGTAGCAACTCCTGGATGACTATCCAAAATGCTTCATTGTGGGGGCAGACAATGTGGGCTCCAAGCAGATGCAGACCATCCGTCTGTCTCTGCGGGACAAGGCTGTGGTGCTGATGGGTAAAAACACCATGATGCGCAAAGCCATCCGTGGTCACCTGGAGAACAATCCTGCTTTGGAGAAGTGAGTTTAATGTTCGTGATTCAGAGCCATCCGATTCAATTTGTGCAGGATAAGTTACAATGCAGCTGGTTTGGTACTGCTTTGTCGTTCCCCCTGCAAACAATAACTTGTTTCCAGCTATCCCTGTCTGTCTACATCCTTGGACAACCAGGGACGCAAGGTTTCAGACACATATAATGATGAACAAACGTTTGTACCATTGTTGACCTTTTTACGTGTCTTAACAGCTGATGCCGTGATTTCACAGGCTCCTGCCCCACATCAAAGGAAATGTGGGTTTTGTCTTCACCAAGGAAGATCTGGCAGAGGTCAGGGACTTGCTGTTGGCCAACAAGGTAACATAATTTTTCCTCTTGCAATTGCATGAAACATGCATTTACTCTTAAAATGTAATTGATTCACAAGCGTGCAGATGTAAGCGACTCTATAGACGTCAGATTTCTTCACCTTTGATGTGCAGGATAAGTTACAATGCAGCCTGTGTGGTACTGCTTTGTCGTTCCCCCTGCAAAAAGCAACCTGTTTCCTCGCTATCCCTGTCTGTCAGCATCACTTGACTGCCAGGGACGTATGGTTTCAGACACTGAATAAACGCTGAATTTCAGCTTGTAACAAATTGTTTATTTTGGATCAAATGAGCCATATTAAACTTGCCTGTATTTAAAATCCCAGGTACCTGCAGCTGCCCGTGCTGGAGCCATTGCCCCTTGTGATGTGACTGTGCCTGCCCAGAACACTGGTCTTGGTCCTGAGAAGACTTCCTTCTTCCAGGCTTTGGGTATCACCACCAAGATCTCTAGGGGAACCATTGAAATATTGGTGAGTCTGAACTGTCCAATAGTTTACAGAAAAGGGTTCTCTAATTTAAACAATGTTTGTTTGCATTGGAAATTAATGAGCGCATCTGTCCACAGAGTGACGTCAACCTGATCAAGACTAACGACAAGGTTGGTGCCAGCGAAGCCACGCTGCTCAACATGCTGAACATCTCACCCTTCTCATATGGACTGAACATCCAGCAGGTGTACGACAACGGCAGTGTATACAGCCCTGAGGTGCTTGACATCACAGAGGAGTCCCTGCATGCCAGATTCCTGGAGGTAAGATGAACAAAGTCTTGAAACATGATTCGTTGCATACCATGTTTGTGATTCTTGAGTATAGTTTGCTCATTACTTTGAAACTTTTGTTTAATTTAGGGTGTGAGGAACATTGCCAGTGTGTGCCTGGAGATTGGCTACCCAACTTTGGCATCTGTGCCCCACACCATCATCAACGGCTACAAGAGAGTCCTGGCTGTCGCAGTTGAGACAGACTATTCCTTCCCCCTGGCAGACAAGGTATGCACATCAAACAAAACCACATTGTCTTACCTGTCCGCATGTTTTGCTTTCAGACAACCCTGTTATGTCTTAATTGTACATGGATGCATATCTCTGCCTTAACCTCATATTTGAGATTATTCTTTTACAAAACCAGCAATCATTTGATTAATGGCTGAACTTTTGTCTTGTACTTGCAGGTCAAGGCCTTCCTGGCTGACCCATCTGCCTTTGCTGCTGTTGCAGCCCCTGCAGCAGCAGCTGAGACTGCTGCACCTGCTGCTGCCAAGGAGGAGGTTAAGGAAGAGTCTGAGGAATCTGATGATGACATGGGCTTCGGTCTGTTCGACTAATACACTTGCAGTGAAATAATACCATGATTCAATAAAAGACATCTCAATGAGTTCATTTGTCTTGTGTTCATCTTCTGATATGAAATGACTGACTGCAGTGTTTACTCTTATGATCAGTGCAATACTTATCACTCATGATGTTAAAGAATACGATTTGTCATAAACGAAGATGGTTCAATATAAAGCTGAGTGAATGTGTTCCGGAAATTCTCACGTCCGTTGGGAAAGATGGAACACTGTCCGGTATGGGTGTGTCTGCTTTCACAATAAAAGCGATAAATGGCGGATGCTATACCATCAATGCCTGAAACAAAATACCGAAGTGCTTCCATGTATAAGGCATCCATAATTTTAATAAAACCTTTGACGGCTGGTCTATATCTAAAGACTTCAGAGATTAAATGTATGCAAGTAAACTCTTGATATTATGTTTCAGTAGCGAATCTTTGTCTTTATCGCGCAGTACAAAGCCAGTGAGCATCTGTCTAAAAATGATGGTTATTTTATACTATACTCGTACTTACATAATACGCAGGTCCACATGTCGATTGAATGACACAATCACAAATTTAAGTGATATGAGGTGGTATTTTATCAAAGCCTGGTTAAATATGCTTTTATTTTGAAAATAATGGACCGGATGTTTTAGAGTGTAGTTGGGTGTGTTGATGCGTTGAAGCTCCAGGACAAAAGTCCACCATGGCTGAGGTAAGATTTAGTGAGGTTTATTGTTTTTAAGGTTCCCACGTAATTGGACAGCTGATTATTTATTACATGTTAACTGTGGTCTGTTGATATTTGGATAGTATAAAAACGTATCAACATATCCATACCTTATAGTGTCGCCGAGAGATTAGCAAACGTAGGCTAACGCTATCGTCGATGCAGCTGGCTGATCTAATATTATAGATCTAATATCTCATTGTAAAAACAACCGGGGCAATAACATACCAGCTATGTATCAACATTACATAGACGGTCAATCAAATTAGTTGAGATAGAGGGAAATCAAATGTGGTCGCTGGCGGAGGGCGCCGCTACAGGAAACACCTAACACCAACATCCGGGGAACAGATATCGACACAACATCTGTAACGCTATTTATTTTTATTTTTAGATATTAAGACATGTCACGCTGCTGCCAGGAGACTCCCAGTATATTCCCACTCATCATAATCTTGCACATTTGCACATTTCTGCTAAACGATACCAATCCATCATTGCATCTTTATTAAAAACACATTTAGTTTTTGTTTTGCAGGTTCTATGTTTTATCCTATTTTCTATTTAAGTTCCTTGACATTCCTAGTTTTTAACTTTTTATTCTACTTCTGTGTTTATTGTTCTTGCATCAAAACAACAAGACAAATATATTTTACTGTATGTGTAAACCTACTTAGCACTGAACCCGATTCTGATCTGATTCTAATTCTGAAGTTATTCCCCTAATTGTGTTACTTTTTGTTTAATTTTCAGACCCACAGCTTACAGGACCTCCAGCAGCCTACTGTCTCCTCCAAAGTGTATGTCCAGAGAGACTACAGCTCAGGAACCCTCTCTAAGTTTCAGACAAAGTTCCCCTCTGAACTGGAGTCAAGGGTATTTACAGTGTTTACCTGGATTACCTATTTGGATTGTTGACTGTATGTTAAAAATGTTTTTCACAATGTCTTTTCTGTGGTTTCAGCTTGATAAGCAGCAGTTTGAGGAAACCATCCAGACTCTAAACAATCTGTATGCAGAGGCTGAGAAACTAGGGGGGAAGTCGTATTTAGAGGGCTGTCTTGCTTGTCTAACTGCCTACACAATCTTCCTTTGTATGGAGACACACTACGAAAAGGTAAAACTGATTCAGTGTGGAGTTTATCATCATTTTATATATGTTGTCTCTGGTGAGTTAGACAGATCTTCACATGTCATGATTGTGCTTTACTCTTCATCTGTCTAGGTGTTGAAGAAGATCGGCAGGTACATTAAGGACCAGAATGAGAAGATCTATGCTCCCAGAGGTTTGCTGTTGACCGACCCCATAGAGAGAGGCCTGAGAGTCGTATCCTTCACCTGCCTACATTCATGTACTTACTAAATAGAGTGTAGTCAGTCTGTTAAGGGATTTTCGACATGACTGCATTGACTCACAATGGGCCTCATTCACAAACAGTGTGCACGCACAAATCTGTTTTCTTAAACCGTTAGTATGAACATTCACCACATAAATCTGAGCTTCATAAATATATTTGTACTTGAATGTATTCTTATTCTGCAAACAAAAATAGAACTTCCTCAGACCATGCGTACGCTCAAATGATTGACCAGCTTTCTCCGAAACTGCTAACATAACTCTTAAATGCGTGACGTATTAAAAATACATTCAATCTATATATATATAACTAATTAATTAACTAAATGTATTAAATAAGTATAAAACATATGCCTTTCCATCCTTATATTTCTTTAATCTAAAATCTTTAACCTTTAATTAAATAATTTGCAATTAAGAATATGACTATTTACATATTGAAATGTAACAGTTTTCATTTTATCCTTGACCACTCTCACAATATTGTCATGAAGTATGTGGGCACGCAACTGTCAATTTAGAATGATTCTGATTCACTAACATACACAATGTGTTGAGAAAGAAATTGGCTGGTACACACATGTCATGAAGCCAACTATGATTTTGTGTATGCAATTATTTTATGCGTTAGAGCAGTGGTACGGTGGTACGCGGGCACCCTGTGGTGGTACGCAAAGAAATCTCCACAATATAAAAACAAAACCTGTTCAGCATAAAACGACATTTTTTTTTGTTTTTGTCATACTTATCTTATCTGTCTTGTTTCTATTGGGTTGTATTTATATCAAATGTGTTTTCCCCTCTAAATTAATCTAGTTTTTGCAACAAACAACTTTAATCTGCTCAATTTATGCTCACACACAGACATAAACAACAACAGGAGTACACCTCACGTTTTGAAAAGTTCCACTCGATATGCCGTTATGGTTCAGTACTGAATCAACAGCAAGCAGCTGTAGGCCTACATTAACAGATATTCTGTTATTGTTTGGAGTTCAGTACACAATCCGCAGCAAGCAGCTGTACATTTAGGCTACATTTTTATAACAGAGCCAGGAGAAGCTTCAGTTTTTGATGTACTGACAGTGGAACTTGTGCTCCCCCTCCCTCTATCTCTCTCTCTCTTGCTCTGAAGCTGATGTGATTCTGCTCTCTTTTGCCGTCTTAACACTCCGCAGGAGTCGAGAAGGATTTTAAAAAAAAAGGCAGTTTTGCTTTGTTGAACGCAGAGACTTATAATACAGAGGCTCTGTTTGCACAGAGCCTGCAGAGCGCGCGCCTGCACTCTCTCACACGCTCTCTCTCTCCCTGCTTCCTCTCACTCTCTCAGGCACGCAGCAATTTTATGAATAAATGAAAAATTAAATTAGAACAGGTCTGAAATATACTTGGGCCCAGGTATCGTGTTTGTGTGGGAAACACTGGAGATTAAATATTCTCAAAGAGGTTGTTGGTATAAAGTTGTCATTTTTATTATGCTGCATTTATTTTTGATTTGGGCAAATGTCAGAGTTGTGTTAGTTTAAGTGCCAGTTCTAGCACTAGCCCTTAGTATTCCTACAGTGTGGCTGCCAACAGTCAATAATAAATAATATTCTTTTTATGAATTAATTAGCCTCTTGCGTGAAATGTGTGTAGAAATAGGCCTACAGTGTATTTTAACATCTACCATAATGGTGGTACTTGGAGAGCCAAATATTTTCAGAAGTGGTTACGCAGTTTAAAAAGTTTGAGAACCACTGATCTAGAGGAAAGACATTTCTACGCATATGTTAGTGAATGAGGCTCAATGACACTAATCTACTCACAGTTTTGAGGTTTTTTATTGTCTGTATTTTAGATCAGCCGTAGTTAGCGCAGCGGTAGCTCAGTCTGTAGTCTCTCTTTCCTTTTGTCCCATTGAGATTAAGAACCTCTTTTACAAAGCAGACCTGGCCAAGGTAGTAACTCTGGTTTGGGACCGGAGGGTTTCTTGTTCAAGTTCTGGTTCAGACCAAGTATGGAATTTGAAGTGGTTGAAGTGGAGAAAAGCAAGTTTACTTCCTGAGCTCCCCCTCACTCTGACATTGGTCCATTGTTGTGTATCTATAGGTCCTGTTATTGCTTTTGGGCCATGTGTGTGTAAGTGTGTCTCACAATAACAGAGTTAAAAGTTCAATTAGATTCACCATGTGATGACGTGGTAGTAAACAGAGGGGTAGAAAAATGTTTAAGATAGAGTCAGTAGTTTTTTCTGCGGGACATTTCTTGGCGGGGATCTGGTGTGTTTCCATTAGCCATTGTCAGCGCACAGATGAGTTTAGCAGATGATTAAGAGATTGGACACGATTCAAACCAGCGAAAATGACAGGCGTGGACTCAGTGTCAAAGCAGAGAAAATATGCTGTTGTTTAAAATAGAATTAAACAATTCTATTGACTCCACCTTTAAGAATGTTCAAGTTAGTAAAGGGTTTTATACATGTCAAAGATGTGAATGAAGCATTATTTTCCTCAACTTGATGTATTTTAGGTGGAAATCACCATCTTTGAAGACAGAAGTATTGGCTCTGGAAGATAAAGACATTTGAGGTATGTTTCTCTTTGATGTACTATTAATGACGAGTCAGGTCGCCTTGAGGTCTGTACAGCTCTAATTTGACTTTTTTTTAAATAATAAAAAAATACCAGAATTCTTTGGAGGGATTTAATGCGTATGTCAACAATAACGTTTTTCCTGAAACCTGACTATCTCTGCAAGTCATTTACATGGGTGTCACCTCTGTGACTGGGCTGCATTCAGCTCACAAAATAAAAGCCTTCCTTTAAATTCCCTGTAAAGTTTCAAAGTGCATAGTCCTGGTAGCAGTATTGGTTAGATAGTTCTACACAGTACCAAGAGATAGAGGAACCATCCAGAACCACTTCACCACAAAGGAGGCAACATTAAGTTCCACACAGTTGTTGTAAGATAAGCACTAATCATTCGGCTTGTTTATTTACTACCATCCTCTCAAAACAATCAGCCATCAGCTGTGACATTATGACAATCTGTGACGTTGTCAGAAAAGACATCTCAATGAGATTCTTCTTCATATTGAAATCATAGTAGGTGAGGGTGGCGGTGCATTATATTTAAAGGGTTTTCTCCTCTCATATGTTAACAGAGTGAGGAAAATATGAGGAACACGTTGTGAAGAGTTTGTGGTAGAATTGTTGAATTGCATTGCAAAAGATAAGCTGATGGGTAAATGCAATGATGACACTGGAGCCCTGGTTGTCTGTACCCATAGTAAAGCAGTTTCCTTTCTCTCCTCCTCTCTGTATAGGCTTCTGATTCTGACCAGATACTCTACATCTGAGTGGCAGCACATACCCAGACATCTGCCCCACACGAATGGATGTACATAATGTTGATCTGATCCTTTTCTCTGTTATTTATAAATACTCTACCGTCTGCCTTTCCTTTTAAGTTTATAAAAGTGTCTTTACGTCTTTTTACAAATGCAGTGATATATCAATTATGTCCTAGTTGATCAAGACTTTGTGAATGGTGCCATTGGCCCTCACTTATCAATCTGGTGTAGAAACCAGCGCAGATTTGGGTGTAGAAATCATCGTACGACAAGGTCCACGATGGACCTATGAAACGTGCGTATCTGGCTGATCACGGCGTACGCAAGATCAGGTGTGACGGCTGGAAACAATCGTCATTTAAATACCACGCCCCTATATATTCACAGCTCAGCTGTCCTCGCCCCCAGAGTTTACGGCATGGAGATACTTAATACGGCAAAGAAGAGAAACAAGATATGACCTGAGTGACACCATAACAGAGAAAAGTAAAGAGGAATAACATTGTGTTGTTTGGCAGTCTAAAATATAGGATTAAAGAGCTTCAGAAGAAATGCGCCTGCATGAAATCTCAACAGGGATGGTTTTAAATATAAAAAATATTTAATTAAAATATTTAAAACTTCAGCGGAGATTTTAATATTTAATTTAACATCCGTGATATGTAACGTACATAATATAGGCTATAATATATATATTTTGTTCTACTTTTAGTTAAAAAAACCTGGTCAGACCATACGATCACTACAATATATCCTAGTGTTGCGGGTCTTAAAAGAAGCAGCTCCCGGAGCGGACCGGAGGCCGTACCTCACCAAATAATCCCAGATCGTGGAGCGAGTGGCTTCTTTCATCAATCAGCCTCAATATCAGGCACAAGTTGTACAGGTGAACCTGCATCTGTGTTGGATAACGTTGGCTGCACTGGCAGCTCGCCATTAATGAGACTTTAAACGAGAAGAGAAACCTGAAACGTCCTGCAACAAATGAATAAAGTGTTTGATCAAACGCTGTACAATGTGCACTTCTCATCCGATTAGCCTTCTTTCCAAACATAAGAATTTAACACTCACATACAAGAAGGTCCTGACTCCGTCTTACAGCCCCCCGGATTTCTTTATTGGTTATTATGTCACATGTAGTCTCTGGCCTATGTGCGTCTGCTGTGCACAATTACGCATGTGGCACATCAGCGTATTTATTATTTTAATCTCCGGACATACCGATTAGTTACGATCTAATGTTAATGTTCTGAATTCTTAAATATTTCATATTGCAGAAGCTAAAAGTTGTATTTAGTATCTCTAGAAGTTTTTCTGTCCTTTTGAAGTAACTGTTTGTAGTTTTTCTGTTTTAATTTGTCTCAGTATTTTCTACAGTGGTATTCCTTGTACATGAACGTTTAACATGTATTTATCAAAAGCAGCCTCTCTAATTTTTAATCTTTAAAGTAAATCGATTAAACAAACAAAAATGTATCAAATAAAACACACAACTAAAGAAATCACCTGACAGCTCGCGCTGCTCAACATTATTTAAAAAGCGATGTAGTCTACAGAGATCGTTTGAGGTGGAGCGTAATATAAAATACATTTGAGATATCTTATCTAACAATAAATCTGTGAACCTCTATCTGTCTGTCTTAACAAGCACTGTTATAGTATGTTCTAATTATTCTCTGACACAGACAGATTCGCTGCACTGCAAGTCCACACTGAGTTGAAAAAGTGCGTACACGAACTGAGACCTGGTGTGAGATTTGAGCGTACCCTCCGCTCACGTCCAAATTGATAAGTGCCGAACTTTGCGTGGAAATGACCGTACACCCATTTTTCTGCCGTACATGTGTTTGATAAGTGAGGACCAGTGTGTTTAAGGGTACTCTCTGACCATGTTTAATATGAGTGATTGGACTTTTCTCTTTTTGCAAATGATATAAAGTCAATCTGTAGTCGCCAAGAAATGTACGTGGAATATGTTGGGATGGGGTTAGCACAGTCTGTAAACAGTGATTATGTTCTGGGCAGTGCAGGTATTAACATTAAGAGGTTGTAGCCTTCATTGAGGCAAATGTTATCTTACCTGTGAATGAATGTGACTTGTTGGGGGTGGGGGGGGGTTGGTAACTTTTTGGTTGCAGTTTTTGGTAACTTCAAAGATGGAGCATGTTTATTATATTATCACAAATAAATGGCATGGCTGTGCACTACATCTCACCAATCATGTAACAGCCCTGTGTTATATTTCTCATATTAATCACTGTCTTTATCGTGAATGTCATTCCCTTTCCATCATCACTAAACACCACAGAAACCTTAAACTCTCTGAACTCCACTGAGAATTGAGAAAGAGTGCAGTTGATACAAATTATGTACTTTCTTACATGTGTAATACTGTTTTCTCTGATTAAATAACCCTTTTCTTTTAAATCTCTATGTGTATGTTTCACATCAATATCAGAGTGCATAAGGCAATGAAAGAATGTCATATTGTAACATGCATGGGCCCCAAAAATTACATTAAAAGAAGAAAACTTCATAAACATATAAATTAGACATTTGTTTTTTTCTGTTTAGTTTGTGCTTTGCCAAGAATTTCAAGGAGGTCCGCGGGCATGTCCAGGCTTTTGACTGGTGTGGCCCAACTGGGGCTCTGACTTATTCAGGGTTGGCCTGGACTTTGCGTGCACACGAGTGAGTGAATGAATGTGATGACTCTGTCTATGCTCATCAACAACTTTAACTAATTACATTTAAGTATCATACATATTTTATATTCCTTTTTATATTCACCTTATATGAGTGGCAACATAAATAATGATTAACTGTTAACTCTTTAAGGCCTCAAAAAGATGAAAACCAAAGTCACTTTTTATTGCTTAAACATTGCAAGCAAATTCCAGTACGAATAAGGTTTTTTTATTTTATTTCTCAAAACAGTGCTCAATCAATATGCAGGAGTTTGCTTTCAATTCTGTATGAACTCTTCTTTTTCTTCTACTCCTGTAACACATTATTGCCATATTTCATTCAGAGTCAGTCAGCTCGTCCTACATTGTTCAAATTAAATGTCTTTAATTATATATATATATATATATATATAGTATATATAGTATATTTCTAAAAAATCAACCCTGTCTCACTTAAGCATTAAGCATCCTTAATTCTCTTCCTCACATCCCTAGTCTTTGTATTCCTTACATCCCTTTTCTCCCTATCTAAAGTGTATGTAATGCAAATGGTGATATGGTGTTCTATAGTTTCCAGTGTCTGACTGCTCTCGGAAACCAATTTCTCTCTTACAGAACTGTCTGTGAAGTATTTATTTCTTCAATCCAGAAGATTTAAACACAAGTCTCGCCTCTAACAACGCAAATAGCCAATTAAGGATTTCTGGGTAGCACCTGGAGTGGACAAATCAGATTTCATGGGTGTCCCACAGTGTCCCATTACAACCCCTGCACCATAGGCTGTAAATATTACATTAGGTTATGCCCTGCACACACCCCTGGGGGAGGTCGCTTTTATTTTGAAAAGAATCACACCGGATATGAGCAAATTCCAAACTAGCCGTTTGCTTCCTGAGCTTCCGGAGGCTTAAAAAAAACAGCTAGCTAGCATCTTTAACAGTGTGTTTCTACTGAGTTTGATAGAAGCTACCTGAGCTACCATGGACACAGCATCACATTGAACTACCTTACGCTAAAGTAGGACACTTTAACGGTAAACCAGCCCAGATTAGCACAGGTTAGCAAACATCTGGTAGACCGACGTGTTACCTGTCGCACGTAAACGAGTACTGAAGCCTGTTAGCTTTGTTTTAAAGTTAGTAATGTTTGGTGTAACATTATGTCAGGGAATAAAAAAAACATAGCTTTCATTTCAAATGTACTTTAACTTAGGAAGATATATTAATTTTGCCTAGTTTTATTAACTATGGTTGCTTAACTAGCCGGTCATACTGTACTATTTGTAATGAGCTTGTGCTGTATCATAGGCTATACATATCAAGTGATGGACATGTTTTGCCACTGAAGCTAAATTAAGAAGATAATTTGATATTTGTCCGAACATTGTCCTCCTCAGGACCCGTTCCCATCTGTCCAACCTGCCGTTTCCTTGTTTCGATGGCATTTTACCGTTTTTCCATAAAGGAGCAGTGTGAATTTGTGCATCATGTCAAAGAAGATGTGGGAATATACGAAGAGAAGAGCGACCGTAAAAGGTATAGTTTACACCTCTAAACTAATAACAACAGTAATGTGTTAGCCTTTTATGTGTGTGTACTATGTTTTTTTTTATTTGGTTAGGCAAAGTGTGTTTAAATCATTTGTGCATCTCTCTTCTATCTTCCTTTAGTTAGACAAACACCCCCTAGAAATATTCTCATCAGGGTATCATTATGGCCCTCTCTATTTAACAAAGTCTGTACCTGTGATATAGTTACTTTTCCATCTCTTCGGGAACAAAGCTGATTGATTTTCTGATGGTGTTAGGACGTTCAGTGATCTTGCTGTGGACACAACTCCTCCAGTTTCTGCAAAGCTTCATTTAGTTCTTTGAGGGTTGCCATGATTTGAAACTGAAAAAGCTCCTCTTTGCCCAGAACAGCAGTTCGACTTGTGACATTTTCTAATAGTTCTGGTGTTATGTTGATGACTATCACAATGCTACATCATAAGCAATGATTCCCTGGAAGCTTGAGACCCCGACATGTTTGTAACATGTAGGTGACAGTTGATTTACTTGACGACCCTCTGATGACGAGATCAGAAGCACCTGAGTGAGGGTCATCTGAACTCGTGCTTTACTGCAGTGTGAGTTACTGCCACACATTTGCTTACATGTACTTCTGATATAGAAATGGTGCATGCTATCATATACTTCTTTATTTCACACATCATGTCATGTCTTGTGCTTTTAGATATTTTAGTCTACGACTTTTGAACTCAATGATAAAGTCACCTTAATGCTGAAACAAAGTGTGGACTATCTAAAACTTTCTTTAAAACCTTTAAAGTAAAATATGCTCTTATTTTCTTTCTGTGCTGTAACACCTTTTGTGTCTCTACCCAGGGTCCTCCTGTTCCCCCCTCTACCCAGCAGACTACGGTACCTGATCCACCAGACCATTGAGGACCTGCCTCACCTGACTACCTTCTCAGTAGGAGACAGCTGGTGTCGTCAGGTTGTGGTCTGCTATTCTGAGCTCAGGTACCAAACAAAAATATGTCACTGAATTTTCAAACGTTTGACCCTTTAAAAGCAACGAAATACTGTTGAGTTGTATTGAAACACTTGATGCTACAGTTCTTTATATTATAAAGTTAAGACTCAAATTTATCAGCACTATTTTGAGATGATTTTTTTGGGGTATTTTGTGCATTTATTGTAGAGATAGGACAGTGGATAGAGTTGGAAATCAGGGAGAGAGAGAGTTTGAAATGACATGCAGGAAAGGAGCCACATGTCGGATTCGAACCTTGGCCGCCCGATTGGACGACTATTACCTCCGTACATGGGGTGCGCGCACTAACCACTGAACCACCAGCGCCCCTGTCAGCAAACTATTTAAACTTCTTGCAAATTCAAAGTTGGTTTTGATGCATATGTTGGTGAACAGTCAGATATATTATCCAGAGATAATGATCAATCAATCAGTCATTACTTGTATAGCGCCAATTTAAGTGTGTGTTATCTCGGGTGCTTTACAAAATAGCAGGTAAAAGAGCATACTCGTTGTTAAGAGAAATGGGGACATAAGAGATGTGATAAGACGCAGGAAGGATTTCTTTTTGTATTCCTTGAGTTCCTGTTGTTCACACCTCCTCGCTGCTGAGGTGGAGGTCGGTGCAGGCTGTGCATGACTGAGGGCGGCGGTGGTTGTGGAGACGACAAAGTGGGATGGTAGAGGCTGGGCGTAACGGAAGTTGGGTAGTAGTAGTGCCCGATCACCTCACTGAAGATAATGATGATGATAATCTTATCATTTACAATTTTTATTGAAAAAAGAAGTCTTCTGTATTTGATGTGCAATGACCATCCTGGACACAGTACTTGGTATTTGAACTTTCTCATTTTAGATTTGATGTGTTCTGTTTAAGATTTTTCTTGTCTAATCTTCTAAATCACAGTTTAAATGAAGATCTTTTTGTGGAACACTTTTATTAGTTGTTCATTGTAAAAACATTGATATTTTCCTGTAGGCTTGAGGGGGAGGAAAAAAGTGACCCAGAAGGCAACACCTTCTGGGTCACGAGCACACCGCGAAGCAAAGCATCGAAGAGGCCAGACAAACCACTTTACATGCCAAGAGCAGTTCGCCAGAGACTGTCCTTACAAAACTCCCAGATACCCTCAGGAGACCAAGAGTTACCTGTGCCAGCTTCAAGTAGCTATAGCTGCATCAGCAGCTCACCTGACTCTTGTTCCAGGCCTGAAACTACAGAAAACACCATGTCCTCCCCCACAGCCAGTCAGGAAACGGCCCCCAGTGCATCAGACAGTAACCTCAGTCATGTTTCTGACAGCTCAGAGCTTTGTCCTCAGATTCTGCAGACGCCTCATGACGCTGAGCCCCTCGTATGGGGCCAGACTGTGGCCTGCTTTGCTGACATGACTCTGGAGGAGGATGAGGACACTGAAGATCTTGCTAGTTTGGTATGATCATAGAGTTATTGTCCACAGCTCTGTGCTGAAGTGTTTTTGGATTAACATTTATATTTCATTTTCTCTCTCTTTTTTTATGTGGGCCATAGATCAAGGCACGTATAAAAGAGCCTGAAGCTTTTTCCATTGAGCATGTTCACAACGACTACTGCTTGTTTGAGACCGTGTATATAAACCCGATGAGTTTCGCCATGTGATCGAGATTTACAACTTCCCTCATGTGTTCGAAACAGATGACCTCCTGGATGCTTTTGCTGAGTATAGGTAAGTTTAGAGCCTGAACCTGTTAGCCAGCTGTCAGTTTGTGTCTGCGTAGCGAATGTGTGTGATTAACACTTTACATCTGTGGCTTTAAGCAAAACCCTAATGAATATCCTATCTAGATGATCTCAGACAGGTGGTCTAGTTACTAATGACTCCCCTGTCTGTCACAGTGATGGTGGAATGAAGATCAAGAGGATAGATAAAACACATGCCCTGGGGGTTTTCTCCAGTGAGTCAGCAGGTAAAAAGACTCACTACAGTGCACAGATTGAGGTTAAATAATGAATGACTGTGCTCACATATAGCGATGTCTTCTACAGCACTTCATGCCCTCTCCATCTCCCATCCGCGGCTAAAGACAAGAGCTCTGTCTGAAGGGAGTAGAAAAGCCAAAGGCAAAGCCTTTCAACATGCAGGTAGAGAATCTACTTAACTTATTTGACATGTAATGCTTGATGTAGTGAAGAACGTTTATCTTAAGGAGTAATATCTTTGTTAGTATTTAGGAGCCTTTCTGGGGTTTCTGTGAATAATTAAGTTTTAGCACTGGAGGATTTGGATCAAATGGTTGTGGGCGTGCTGTCTTCCAGAGCTTATCCAGCCAGTGAAGGAACGTCCCAGGACAGACTCTGCTGTTGCACAGCGGATGGTGAGCAGAGCCTTGGGGCTGCAGGGACGCAGCAGAGTGCAGAGATACTGAAGTGTCGGCTAATGCAGGTGAACACGACTAACCAAAGTTCAAATAAAGTTATAAGCATTTTAAATCAACACACTATTGAATTTAAAAAGAAACCAGGGAAGGTCAAATCTGACATTGTTAGAGATGTGGTGATGGTTCAACTATAACTATTATCGCTGTTTGCTGATGATCTGAGGATGACACATAACACATGTATCAGCTAACAGAATGTGAAACACCATTTACTGTAGTATTCGGTACATTTCTATCATGTCGCTGCTATGTGTCTCATGACTTTTGGTCTTTGTTTCACTTCTACCCTAGAACATTAAGACTCAACATCATAAATGGGATCTGCTTTGACCATTTTTTTATTTTTAAAAAAATGTAATACTTTCCCACATTCACCCATGCATACAAAATAAAACAGTCAGGCAGCAAGCAAGTAACAAGTACCCTTTCAAAATTAAGGACTCTTGAATTTGCTCCATTAAAAACAAACTAATTTACAAAACAATGAGGAGGCATATTCACATACATTTGTGGCTTTTACAGAACAACCACACTATAATCATAGTCCCTGATGGTAATGATGTAACAACACTGAGGAAGAAGCTGACTGGATGTACAAAAAATGTTACCAAGGAAACCAAGAATGAAACATTTTAATAAATAAAAGATTTAGCAAAGTGAAGCTCAAGTTTGTGGGACACAAAATCTTTGGAATAGAAGCACCTTCCCACTCAGCTCAATTTTGACAATTTATGACTGAAAATTATAATTAGGAACCAATCCAACCAGCACTTGTGATAGATATCTCTAATGCATTCACCACTCTAGGCCCTCTGACAGGTATGATAAAATGAATCCAGCTTCTGGTATCCCATATTACAGTTTGGGTTTCAATTCATCACCATTAATAGTTTAATACAGAATTATAAACAAAGGAGGTTTTGTTTTTTCTCAAATTATAGCTCGTATAATGAAGATTATACTGTCTTTGTTTTCAGTTTATAGTTCTAATCTTGTGGAAGAATTAAGGAAAAACATCAAGTGCAGTCTGTTGTAGCACCAAAATTCAGGAGAAGACTATTTGCATCAATCACAAGAAAATTATGAGGGTGGTTTTTGGTTTGAGATTCTTCCCAGACTCCTTGCACTATGGCTTTGAAGGCAACTTTTAACATCATTAATAGAATAAGTTATGTGGTTGCTACCTGTCTCTCCTGATAAGCACCATATCAAAACCTTAATTTCACTGACAACAAGGGCATGAAGCAGTGAAGAGATAAGAACACTTTGGTAAAGCTGAATGTAGTAGATCCAGTAAGCAAGCACTTTGTTTTCCCATTTAGTCATTGTCCATTGTACCGGTTAAGCCCTGAGCCCAACAACAATCCAGCACCGCTCCTCTAGTGGTTGTCAAATATTCATATTCACTCCCCTAATATCCGTCCACGCTGTCCATCTTCGGTCTACCTGCGTGAAAGCTGATTGGTCAGCAATCCAGGGAACATGTCATCTATGTCTGAACCCAGTGAGCCACCTGTGGAGTTGGACGGGGAAATAAAGATGAAAACGACAGCGATACTTTGTTTCACAACACAAATCAAATGCTGAAGCAGCTGATCAGAAATCAAGATTTAGAGACGGTGCCAATCCCTTTTTGATTTGTCAACATCGTAACATCTGAACAAGAAGTTCTGACAGTATCCAGGGCTGGAAATCCTTCCACGTTTCTATCATTTCTAATAGCAAATTTATTTCCTTTACCCGTAAGTGTTCTCTTAGTCAGCCCAACTTCTTGTTTCTAAAAGTGAAATGTAACTTTCAGATTTGCCTCCAACAGTCTTTCTTTTTTCTACTCAGGGATCCAGTAGAGGTCTGCCTCCCTTCACTCTAACTCTGAAGAGGCTCCAGAGTGTGAAGAGAGTGACTATAACTGATAGGCGAGCCCCATCCTGGTGAAGTCTAAGATCTCGATCTGAACACTAAATCACTACAGCCTCAAAGATGCAGCTTGTCCCCAACACCTTTGGAAACTCAAAATGTGATTCCTATCACTTTTTATAAAACGATGGTGCACAAGTGTTACATCAGTAAATATGAATTACTCTGATATCATTGGATAAAATCAGAGTCCATAGCTTATTCTGATCTGATTGGATAACGTGTTGCCTTGAAAGTGAAGGGTGTATCAAGGGTGTTCCAGAAAGAGGTTTTTGTTTCCTCTTTGCCAAAGTGATGTAGGATTGATATAGTAAATCTATACAAGCAGTTGTTCATTCACATCATTGTGTAAGATTTAGGGTTTCTTATGGCACTGATGGATTTAATAGTTATTCAAATGTTTATTAGTTCAAAACCTAAAAACAAGAATAGTTGTGTTTTGGGTCAGTTTAAAGAAGCCTTTGTACCTAGTGGGTCCTCCTAAACAGAGAACATTTTTCTGCACTTTAATGTACTTACAGAAGCCCAAAAGGGACAAATCTAGCTCAGCAGGTGGTCTTTGTGGTTCTTTGTTAGGTATTAGAGGAGTTGTTGCCTTCTGCAACCACTAGATGTCACTAAATCCTACAGACTGGTTCTTAGTTTGTAATTCTTTTAAAGATTGATTCTCAGGACTTGGTTAAAGATGTTTGATCACACTGTGTGCTGGAGTCACGCCCTGATTTTATAGGAAGGAAACGACTCCAATTCATAAATGTAAGCTAGTTTAATTAACAGAATCAGATCTGTTACTAAGGTAAGACAGTGTTTCACATTAATGTTATACTGGACTCAATAGTTATTTTCTAATTTTGTAGTTCATTTTAAAGATTCTTATTTTTTGTAAACATGTTCTAAGATGTTAAATTATTTTTCAAATGTTTTTTTTTGTGTGTCACACAATTAACTCGGCATTGTTTCCTTAGAGGCAGAATGTTTGGTGTCTTTCTCCTCATTACAAATTTAACCGTTTTTGACTAACTAAAGTTTGTGTTTTGGACGCCTACAGTATGAATCTGTTCCTATACTCGCTTTTGTTTCGCTGTCATTGACTTAACACAAGTCTTACCTCTAAGTTCTTCATGCAGAGGTAAGACTCTGAAGGGACAACGCTATTCAGAGAGAATTCTATACTTTGTTATCTAGTAGAAGATGTAAACTGTTTAATTTTGTCACACTGAAATAGGATGTTTACATGTTATGCTCTTATGTACGTGTGCCTGATGTGAGAGTGACAGGACAGTTTTGCGTCCAATATTGTAGAATTGAACTGCATTTATTGAAGAGTTTCAGGAAAAAGAAGTGTGGATCATAGAAATAAATGTGGAACTGTTCCGTTGAAACGTTTATTTTAAACTTGATTAATTGTGTGAATAAAGTTTCAGAGTTGTTCAGTTGTTATGAACGTCTACAGCAGTCAGTAATGTGTTAGGAGAGTAGGGACATTCTGTATCTTTTTGACTCTTATTTAGAACAAAACCTTTACAAATATCAGTTTACAAAGTGTCAACTGTGACTCACTTTACACATATTTACACTCAAATGTATCCAGTGACTAGAATCAAAACAACCCAATATAAAGGGGACAAACAAAAGTCATATTTAACATTTGATTTGAAGTTCTTTATCATCAAGCTATCTACGTTTCTGTCAGATTTAGATCATTTTCAGGTAAAGTTCTCACCTATATGACAGTTGAATGTCCATATCCGATGTCCATCGTACCGGGAGCGGCACTTCATAATGTTGTTGGAGTAATCTGATTCTGCCACTTCATAATTCGGGTTTATCACAATCTGGGGGAATCAAAAATGTTTGTCAAACATATGAGAGCAACACTCTTATTTCATTTACACATAACGCACAAGCAGAACTATAGAGTTAGTAATAGAAGTTCAGATTTAACTGGTAGTGAGTTTTAAATGACACAACTAATAGAGATATTTTTTTGTTGGCTATGTCTTCCAATCTGGTGCTTGTAAATTTAGTGTCTGTCCTTCCACAACCCCTGCTCTCTTATTTATATCTCAGTAAGAGTGTGCTTAGGCTGAATGCCAAACTCGAGCAGATGCAGAGACGTGGAAAGTTGAGGTATATGTTTGGTCTGTAAGTCTAAGCTGGCTGGAGATGAGACGATCTTTCCAGCACAGATGTCGTAGATCTACTAGGTGTAGACTGGCAGACAAGATGTCTTACCTGCAAGATGTAGTCCCCTGGCTTGATGTCTGTGATGTCAATCCACTGACAGTCGATGTCGTGTCTGTAGGTATCCCAGCAGCCCACCGTGATGCCCTGCGCTCCAAAGTTTTCACATTTATACCTCTTCTGGATACCTGGTGGTAACATTCCACAACGTTGTGAATATTTTGGATCAGACTGATTTATTTATGTTTTTACTTTAAGAAAGGAACTAGAATAGGACTACACGAAGCACAGTATGTCCTAAAAAATAAATAAACCAGGAGTCTTTACCTTCTTCACAATATGTGTCCTCTAGACAGAAGCTGGCCTTGTGACCCTCGGCCACTTGGGTGCCGTTTAGACTCAGCAGGTCATAGTGGGTGAAAACCTCCATGCTGTGGTAATGTCTGGATTTAATAAGGGAAAGAAAACCATGATCTTCAAACATCGTATATATTTATAACGATAATTAGAAGCTTCATAATAACTGACATGCACTTATCCATGACAACAGCCCAGACAGCATTTAAAGACTAAAGCAGGAATAAGCCTGAAAGTTGGAGGAATGCAGGAATTTAAAGGAAACTAGATTGTTCATTTATTGGATACCATCATTTATTTGCATCCCTCCAAAGAAAAACACAAGTTAATTGTGACAATGACAAACAACAGTGTGGTGCTGAGGGAGAGTGTAACGTTCTTCAAAAGCTTTCAAAATGTCAGCTATCAGTGTTTTTCCTGCACTAATAATAAGTATGATGTTTCAGCGCTATACTAAAAGTGGGTTACTTGATTCCAGGTCGAATTCATGGATATAAAAACATATTTTCATACAGTCTATATATAAAAGCAGAAGCAAACTAAAGACAGTTTAACTGCAGTCTCACCTGTGACACTCGTGCCAGATCCAGGAGTGATGAGCGGCGCGCGGCCTGAAGTCTGACTGTCCATTGTTGTGGATCTGGGAGGAGAAGCGTAGGAGGCGGCGGTAAGAGCTGGGGTCGGCTTCGTCTGCGCTGGTGGACAGACAGTGCTCCTCCTGGGCACACGCCAGGGCGTACAGTGGTCTGTCCTCCAGGTAGGTGGTCTGCTCCACAACCTGGGCATTGAGGACCAGGTCTGGGGCCGCTGGGAGGGAGAGAAAACAAGAAATGTGGTGGTTAGAAACAAAATGAATCAGCAAACTTTAAAGTTTTCAAAGTAATAGCACCAGGTCCTCTCTGGCCTATTCACACAAAACACCAGAAACCTGGAAGTGGAGAAACTAATGTAACTCGTGCATAATTCATTTGATCATATACACGCTTTTCATAATGTGACTTCTCTAAATGTCTTTATTGAAAAATTAAAAGACTCTTAAAGTACACAGGGATTGTATCTTAAAGCTTCTTACTCTGAGTACAAGAGACCCCAGCAGCGAAGCGTCCCCCTCCTTTCTTACAGTTGACGTGTTTCCCATGATGTAGACACTGATCCAGAGTCAGCTCTGTCCCTGAACACCTCACTCCGCTCATCACAATGGCATCAGCTGTGGGATCTCCTGCCCAGTACCAAGTTTCCTGATAAAAGAGAAGCAGAGTTACCAAATATGAGTGAGATGAAGCCATCGACCAAATGCATCTGAGCGGATTCAGACAGAACTGTAACTGTAGAGAAAAAGTGTAAATGCATTGTAGAGAACTCCACAATTAAAAAAAAAGAAATCACAGCATTATTTCAACCTTTTCTTTTAGAACTGTTTCGAGTGCTATTACATTACTCCCATCCTTTAATGCAAAGAGCTGATGGGTTTAACATTTCAAGCTGTGGGATATGCAGGGCCTGTCTGTTGCTCTCTTCATTATTCTTATTGATCTGTGGGTTTCCCAGGTCATGTCACTTTTTCCTTTCAGGTCTGAAGACTAGCCAAGACTTCAGGGCAGCCGCGTGATCGAGTCCAAGTTGAGTCTCGTTAAATAGGGAGATTGATATCACTTGGATGTTGGTAGGGAACGTATAGATCCAGCAGCTGGCAAGTTTTGTTTAAAATGTTTGAAAATGTGATTTGTTCTGCTTTGTAAGGTCATAACCCAAACTAATAAGTTCAACGTCTTTGATCAGTTTAATCCCGCAATGTCTTCAGTTTCATTTCGTAGGTCCTTTCTGTTTACCACAGCTGATTTGAATCAAAAAAAGATGAGCATCTCGTGCTCAAGCTGTTTTGGAAGTTTGTGTGGGAGCGATTCAGCCCCAAACATTAACTTGTTTTTTCTCTCCTACATTTAATTTCCAGACATTTAATGCCAGATGTCCCACAAGGAAAATCTAATCAGAGTTCACGCACGCAGGCACGCACACACACACACACACACACAGAGAGAGAGCGAGGAGGAGATATTCTGCTGACTCAGCCTTATTACAGCATTTTACAGCATTTCGCAGACTTCAGGGAAATGACCTGTGACAGAAGACTTTTCATCATCTTCCATGGAAGCAGGGGATTCATGAGGAAGACACTGAGCTTGGGGATATGGATGTGGGAGGTATGATGGTGGGCTGAGGTGGACAGACATGCAGCGGTATAGCTCAAGCTCTGTGTCATTTGTTCCATGTGGTGGTGGGTTTCGCCTGCAGAAGTATTTAAAAGTCAGACAGGAAAGAGTCTCTGGAGGGGCTGAAGCCTCTCTGCTGTGGTAACAAAGAGCAGACATTTATCGCTCCTGAGCCTCCTGTTAAGAACTTTTATGTACTGACAAAGGGACGTGTTATTATGATGTGATCACCTGGTTATTTGACTCGGCACAGAATTTACTTATTCTAAAGGGAAATAATTGAATCACAAGTAGACACTTTATTTCACAGCTCTTCAGAGAATGATAAGGTTGAATTGTAGTTGACTGAAGGGCGAGGGCTCCAGCAGTGACCACTGTCGAGGAAATGATTAAGACTTGACTCCATACAATACGACTCAGTTGACTCAGATGGCTTACGTTGATGAAAGTTCATACATAAGAAGAATACTCATGAGGAGACATGATTCAACATCACACTTCTGTACTCGTGTCTTGCTTAATAACATCTGCAGAACTTTTCGAAAGGCATCACATATATCCTAAAGATATTACCATTATCAGGGTCACATTAACCCACCTAAACTAATCTGTGACATCAGTGACATCACTGGAGCAGACAATAAGTCTACCAAACATCCTTACAGATATCAGGAAGAACAGTTGTCACTCTCTAAGCTGTACTTGGTGTTCTAATAACAACTGAACTCTATCAGGTCTGACTGACATTAATAATCTAAATAACTACAGAAATTCCACCACAACCACAAACATATAATGACATGTTTACGTGTTGCTCCATTAGAAAAGAATTGCCCATAATTGTCCTAAACACACTTTAGAGAGACAAACTGCCTCCAACAGATCCTGTCCAGGTTCCCCTCATAAAACCTCCTGCTGTTATCATGATTCACACATATTTTCCAGTCCTATATCATCTTCTATTAACCACACTTAACAACACAGGTTTAAGCCTTTCAATAAGAATATTTAAAGAACACAAGGGGGGGGGGGGGTTCACTTTACCAGCCTGTCACCTCGTGACATAAAGGAACCACTGGGGTCTCCTTTGAGATAAAAAGAGAAAACGTAAGCAGGACAGGACTGTGATGCTGCCAAAATATTCCACGAAAGCCCAAAGGCTTAAGAAGTGGAAAGTTCCATCAAACTTCAAACAGCTAATGAAGGCTTCCCCCATCTCTCCTGCTGAGGAGTTTAAAGCTCAACTGTGTTGTAGGTTTACCATCACTGACCTACACTCAGCACTGACTGTGTGTTTTTGATGTTTCCAAGACAGCCACATGTTTACTTTGCCCCCTAGGGTCAATAAATCTCAAGCCTTTTAGAGTGAGAGTTAATGGCCTCCCCAAAACATGAATATTGAAATGGGCAATAATGCCATAGTGGCTTCTTATGGTCCATATTACACATGGCTGTAAACTGAATTTTATCTCCTATACTTTTAATGGTTGATGTACTCCTAAAAGATTCTAACAGTCCTGAAGTTAAGATTGTATATACAAACATTAAAGTACTTTTTCTCTCCAGCTAATGAAGGGGAGGGCTAAAGTATACACTGTATGGCTCCTGACCTTCTACTGATAAGTCTGTTTTATGTTCTTTCTTTGTGTCTTTACGTTTAAAAAGTGTGTATCATCCCTTTATTATCTTGCATAAAGTTTCACTGCTAACCTCATACCTGCTGTTCTGTTGTTGAAAGCTCAGTTTCTGCAGGGAACAGTCTCCCACAACACAATTTCATACAATTTAATTTCAAAGTGTTTTGTCCAAAATCTTATGAAATGAACCGTAATGGAAGCATAAAGGAGTGCCAAAGCTTTAACCGCCTCTCAAACTATCTCCTTTAAGTCTGTCACAAAGATAAGCTCATTTTAAAGATGATTCTTGAAAGTGAGTGTGGAGATGAACATTTACTCATACTGTAGGAACTGACCTGGAAAGAGTGGCTGGCAAAGCCCAAACCTAGCTGTCTGCACACCACCATGGCCTCCATGGTGCCCCAGCTGTCACTGCACACTGTGCCCCACACCAGAGAGCCGTTCCTCTCTGCCAGGACCTCCACACGACCCTCATAGGGATTACGGCCACCATTTAACCGCAGCTAAGGAAAGAGAAGACAAATGTGTTCTCGAGTTCTGTAAAAAATTTCTATTTTTTTTGGTAATGTAAATAGAGGCACTCACTCTTTTTTTGAAGCCCATGGCAGGAACATTACACCTGACTGCTGCGTCTTCCTCATGGCTGCAGCCCAAAGCGTCACGGTTGAAGTAGCACTCTGTCAGCGACTTTTCAAAACCAGAGCACTCTACCTCGTTCATGTGGACCGGCCCCATCCCTGCAGGGAAACAAAAACATCAGGCACATGAAAAGGTCCCTCAGTTCAACTCACGACTGAACTTTCTGAGACAAAAAAATGGACAAACAGGTGGAGCATTAACATCTTGTTTGTGTATTCCCTAATTACAAAAGCAGTGGCCCAGCCCACGTGTGTGTTTAAGTCTGGGCATATTCACATGTTCTCTTTTCTAGAAGTGCAGCACAAAGGAAACAAGCAGTCGGCCATGTCAGATGAAAATGAGACACAAGAGGCCTGTAAAATAAAAAATAAAAAATCCCCTCTGAGCCTTTTTGTTTTTCAAGAGATAAAAAATAAAGGGTGTGCCAGCAGATTTTCCACAATAACATGCGTGCGTATTCCCTCCATGCTGGTTTTTATTCAAATGTGACTGGAGAGGAAAGTCTCTGAGACGACAGCCAGAGACTGAACATGAGTGGCAGCCAGTGAAGGAAAATAAAATGACAACGGGATGAAATCAGTTCTGCTGATATCTCATAGCCAGTTTCCTGTTTTGACTGATGAAAAAGGACAAAGATATATATATATATAAGTATTAAATGAATGACCAGTATTGCAATAATTAAATAAACTCAGCCTAAGTTTGTAACACTTTGAAGCTGAAATAAGAGAACATGTAAAAAGAGAAATGCATAGTCCGTATAAAAGCTACATCTGGAAACTAAACTCCCACAAATCTGGGAATCACAAAGCACCATTTAAGTTTCATTGACATTCCTGATTTGTCCACTTCAGTGACTTCTGAAAACAAACAGAATCAGCTCCTCCAAGTCTTCGGTCTATATGTGACACCAGCTTTAGAAACCAGTTGTCAGCGCATACAGAAAAGTCCTGGAATAACCTTGTGCGATCTCAAATAACAGAATTCCTCCTCTGGAACCCATAAAGGCTGTTTTTTTCTTCTTTGCTGGAACATTGTGTGCACTCTTATGTTTCGCTTTGAGAATTAGGCCTAAGAGGGAACAACTGCACCGATGCACATATGATTTTTATATTGCTGTGGCGTATTATATTTCCCAGAATCAGGATCTAGGTCAGGGTATAAACATTAATGTGCTACTCCATACATTCCCCATGTCTTTATGTGCTGACTTAGGCTCTAGACTGATTGAAGTGGACAAACACAGGTGGGGACACAGAGGCCAACGATAAGGTGGAGGTGGATGTGGTTGGTTGAAGTCCACACCTTCATTTTCACAGCTGGAAATGAGTTCTGCTTCAAGTTTTGTTTGGACTTTTGTTGAGTGATACATGCTGTAAATGTGAAATGTGATTAAGGCAAGATGATTACTGAAGGTCACTGTGGTCACCACTGTTACAGTATTTGGAGTCAGCAGTGAGCTAACAGAATAACTCCCTGATTTCATTTGAAGCGCAAAAATTCTGGATTATTGAGGCTCTAATTCATAAAATAGATAATCACACACATTTTAAGGATCCTTTAATCTAAAAAGATTGTTGGAATGGTGAATTGTAAGCTTAGTAAATGACTGTTTTAAAATAATCTTTAACATACAGACATCTTTGGCATTTTTTAAAGTGTTAGATCAAGCCAATTTATCCAAGAGGCCAAAGCGTTTTAACTTTTTAAAGATTACTTCTACACCATAGAAGGACCTATAAATGATGACTCATCCCTTCTCAAAAGTATTTTTACATTTTTCTTTTACTTTAAAATGATTATACCATTCTATCACAGTACAGCTGAATAAAGGTGTGTTATTATACAGAGACTCATCTGTAGATCATACCTTGACCCAGTCTGGCGCCAGTCAACGCCTCTTTGGCGCTCCCAAAGCCGAGCTCCCGACACACCACCGTGGCAGCTCTAATGTTCCAGGTGTCGTCACAAACTGTTCCCCACTCCCCATTCTTCAACACCTCCACTCTCCCCTCGCCAATCATAGCTCCGCCTCTTAGACGAACCAAGGGTTGCTATGGAAACAGTCAAAGAAAAAGTTGGTAAATATGTAACAGAAAAAAATATGTTTCATCTTTAGGGTATAATTAACAAGATACGTTTACTTTGGTTGGTTAACTTCCATTTTAGAAAAAAGGGCTAGTTACACACACATCACATACAGCGGGTGCAGGGCAGTACACAAACAGCAGAGAGAAGAAGAAATGCCTGCACACTCGCTCAAATGCTCCAATTTTTTGAAAAAACTTTTACAAACCAAAAATGATCACTTGAAGAAGACCTCTGGTCGAAATGTTCTGATTAAATAAATACTTTAGCTTTTGAGCAAGTGTATGAGCATTTCGTCCTCTCTTAACACTATATTGCAATAAGCGGCGCTGAGACTAGCTATAGATATAACATCAACAACTTCAGTAAAATGAAAAACTCTATTCTGAAACTGTCATACATTGAATAAGTATGAATCAAGAGTAAAAAACAAAATTTGCCACAGGCTCACACTGCTGCATGTTCTTTTAAGATGCAAATAAAACAAGTTAAAGGAATAAAAACACTCTGTGTGTGTCTTATCTGGTTGTACCATGTTAAGATTTTTCCATGTTTTGCAGGTTGGATAGAAAAGCGGTTTTACCAGAGCAACGCCTCATTAATATACAATAAATACTCAGTGGGAAAACAACAGTTCAATTGAATACATTTGAAATACTTTATGACAAATGTTTAGCATTCATCCAATCAAATGTTTCCAGCTGTTTGTCTACAGAGCCCTTTTGTTAATACGCAGGCAATGTTGTAATCCAGCACTGGACTCAAATCTACATTAATTATAGGAAAATGTTTCATACTGACTCACGTCTGTGTCCACCTTAAAGAAGATGTTGCTACATCACGTCCTTTGTTAAATGATGTAGCAGCATGTCAGAACAGAAAACAGACTTTGATTTGGAGATTAAAATGAGCCCTTTGGAATCAATAGCAGCTTTTTCATTTGAACACACTCAGAGCTATGCTACAAAAAGGTATTCGAGAAGTGAAACATCTGCACTGTGTGGAACTAACATCATCCATATGGCACCATAAAAGTGTTTCTCAGCCTGTTGAAGAGTTTTTAGTTTGTTGTTGTTCAACAAACTAAAGGTAACACTTGAAATGGAAATAATCTTAAAAGGATAACAGATTGTCTTCTTCTGATATAAAACACTCTTTCATGCATCTGGTTCTGTTCAGTCTAACAAAATCCCCAATATCCAATGAAAATCATTCACCTAAACCTACATCCCTGAACATGACCACTAAACAATTGTTTATCCAAACACCACACACAAAGTTTCAAGTACAAGTGACTTTCTCTCCGTGAAAAAAAAAATCGCTAACCCTAAATGTGCATAATCTAACCCACCTCCACCCTGTAGGCCTTGCTGAAGCCGGCGCTGACGCTGGGAGCAAAGGCACGTCCGGGCACACAGCTGACCACTACAGGCATGCCGTGCTCACAGGTGAGGTTCCCCTTCAGCTCTATCTCCGGGCCAAGCTTACAATCAGAGAGGTCGGCCTCGTTGCCTGTGCATTTTACAGAGAAACCCCAGTAGTTCTTCTTACGACGCTTGGCCAGCAATCTGAGAAGGAGGAATACAAATACAGGTTTCACTTTTAGCTTGTCACTGTCACACCGTAATACATAGCATGTTGAAAGGGTTAATGAACGACAAGAAATTTGTGTATGTGTATGTTCAAGCCAAAACCTGCTGACTGGAAACTTGCTTAAGAGAGAAAATCCAACACAGTGGACATGAATCATCTTGATCCTTCTCTATTACCTTATGTTTTGTCTTCGTGGCATGGAGTTTCAGCAGCATATGTTATTTTGAAATGTTCCCTTTGGTGTGTTCAAGTACAGGTGGAAGACTTTGATATCTAACACTTAAGTTTTATTGCACTTTTTCCAGATGTCGAGACAGTTTGAAGAGCACTCTGCACAACGGCAAAGAAAGACACTGTCAAAAATCTAAAAGCAATGGTTTCCAGCATGTCAGTGCGTCAGACCTGCGATATTGTTTCTTCAATGTGAAAGAAAGAGCACATCAAATATTTGACCATTCTTTCTCACACTGCACCTAAAAATGAAGCAGCTGTTTTATTGGAAGAGAGACGTTTTGCCATAAAGTGTGAGGAACAATGTCCATCCTATTCTGTGAAGCACAATGGGGTTAATTGTTGTGAGAATACCTTAACATCCCCGTGACCTCCATACTTGAATGGAAGTCATCAACTCGGGGTCATTGAAGACCCCAATAACAGTGGGTCTTGAAGCTGGTTGGGGCCTCAGAAGAAGCAGACCATGAAATGAAACCAGCATGAGCTTCATTTATAGCCCTTCATGCAGCTTATCTAGATGCTGAAAACAGAATGTAGCTCTGAGATGTTTTGAAAACATGAACAAGTTTGTGTGGGTGAAATTGAGATGATGTGTCTGATTAAGAATTTTTAATTTAGTTGGACTGTTGTTAGTAGTTAAGTAAAAAGACTGATCTGCAGATTAGAGATTCAATAAGATCTTTCTCCGGGGTAAAACAATAAACCATGTAGGACCATAGCAACATCACATGCTTTCAAATTAGAAAAACAAAAAACAACAAAAAAGTGTTCTCTGCTGGTGCAATGCATCTGATACTTCCCTTTGTTCAAATGCTACCACATGTATTATTTGCACTAATTCAGATGAGCTCATGTCTCCCATAGCTATAAAATCAGGAACATTTTAATCAAAGTCAGCTTCTTAGTCTTCATTTTCATCCTGCGAAAAGCCCAAAACATTAAAGATGATTGTGCAGCCACGTCCTGCATGATTACCCTGTTGCTAAAATGTTTGCAGCTAAATTCTGATGGCTCTCTGGTTGACTTTGACTGTGGATGGTTAGCGGCTCCAGAAGATAAAAAAAAGGACTGGACCCTTACCCTATTGAACTAAAATAAACTGATTAATAGAGTATACCTCTCTGAACCAGCAGAGCTCCAATTAATCAATTAGCTGAAGATTGATGAATAATTTCTTGAACCATTTTTCAAGCGTAAAAATTTAAAAACAAGATTCTGGTTGAAGATTCTCAGATATAAAGAGTCTCTATGTCATTTATGATAGTCAAAGAAGCACATTTGGGTTTAGGAGGTTTGTAGGACAAAATAAGCAGATTTGAGGAGGTTCCTTTGGCTTTACAAATTATGATGAGCAAAACTAAACAATTTATTGATAGTTAAATTTTGATTAAAAAATAACTAAGTTGCATATCTACAACCAAGGGATGTTCTTTTTGTACGCCAGGTAGCCACATTTCTTTCTAGAAATGAATTGAGTTAATATTTCAGACTCAGCCGTTTAAAAAAGGAACATGTCTTTGTCTTTCTGCTGTTACAAGAACAGGAGCTTTTTCTGCATGGTTGATCTAATGTGCAGTCAGAGTCTGTTTTTTTTTAGACTTCACCACCCATGTGAGTAGATTAAACATATAGTGTTCTAGGAAACAGTTGGCTTTGTCTTAGGCTACATAGTTATGACATTTAAGAAGGACAGCGTGTTAACACTGGTGCTCAGACGGAAACAATCCGATGAAGCCAAAAAAGCCACTGTTTCACAGTGATCTGCGCTCAGTCGTTTCCCAGAAAGAGCCATCCTTCAGCCTCTAAAACTTCCTCTGGCTGTGTTTGGCTGCTTGTCAAGAATCTCCAGCTCATGTCTGTTTAATCTCAGTGTGCAGAGTGGATGGAGGGTTGAGTGATGACCAGTGTCAGTTTGTTTTCGACAAAACATTCCCAAACACACTCAAACTAAAAAGCAACAGCTAAAAAATGTACCATAAAACAAATGACATTTTTACACAAAAGTGTACTAGAGGACTCTGTGGACTATGTCGTTAACAGGTCAAAACTTGAAATGATTCATTGTTTATGTAGCACTACTATTTTCCTATTACCTAAACTGTAATTTACTCAACCAAAAGCTAATTTGTTATGTAAAAGTTTAACTTGTGTAGAATTTCATTATATCTAATAGGCCACATTTAAACCTTACTGTTGCTGTTACCATTACTCACTTGTAGGGTCGGGTGTTCAAGCGTTTCTCCATGGGGAAGCCGTGCATGCCACAGACGACCCTGCTGTTCTTCTCCGTCCAGCCCTCGTTACAGATCTGTCTCCACTTGCCTCCGTCTTTCACCTCCAAGAAGCCGTCCGTGATGGGAATCCTTTTCCTGTGGGAGTAAGTGGCCCTGATCCTCACATCCTCCACCTGCACCGTCAGGCTCTGAGAAAGCACAGCAGAGAAAATATTTCATCATTCAGCTTTAAAGATCATGTACAGAAAGAAACCTTTAGAATATCTGGAGATACGTGCAGTGCACAAAGACTTCAAAACATTAGAGTTGAATTCAATTTTTCAGAGGTACTTTCATTTTTATTCACAGAATCAGGAAACGCATCAGTCAACCATTGGCCAAATCTCTTTCTACAGCTGAGTTTCTATTTAGTTGGACACAGCTGCAGGATGAGTTATAATACATTTGGTGATTCATTCATTTCCCTCTAACTCATGTTTCCATAAACGTGCACAGATAGGCTCAACTTTCCATAAACCACACTGACAGAAAGGCACTGCTTTACAAACATTGTTATATAATCAGTAAACATGCTCTCAAATGAAGAACGATCTGTCTAAAAGACAGGAATGTCACTGACAGGATGTAGTTTTCTTTGCACTTGGCGTTGACTGTTCCACTTGATTTATTGGAAATAAAGTACAGCCTATGAGTCATAAATGGGGTTTGTGTTGTGAAGGAATGCTAATAAGTTTCAGGGAAAAAAACACACTTTGGTCTTAAAGGGGTTGTACAGTTTGCACATGTGCACAAAGAAAAGTGAAATAATCTGCAGATCCTATCTGCTGAACATTTGAAGGCTTGCATGAATGTCTAGAATTTTTCCACCATTTTTGCTTGCTTTTCCTTGTGAAAAGTTACCAAATATTGTGCTTATATGTTGTGAAACATGTCAATGTATTTTAGTTTTGTTTATAAGTACACTGAAAAGCTGAAGTGAGCCCCTAAAGCACAAAAAGAGATTTGTTACTATTTTTCTAACACGGATGTTTAAAAGATATCAAGACTGAATATGTCAGAGAGGGGAGCTGGGATAACTTGGAAGATTTGGAAGACTTGCACTTATTTTAGAATTTAGAAAGAGAAAATGTTGTCGCTGAAATTCTGATCGTGAAAGAAGATATTTCAGACAGAAGCTGGTGACAGAGGTCAGGTGAGTGTTTGTGGGTGGTCCACAGTCTACTATAAAGGGCTGTTGGCAAGACCGGGGGTCTCAAAGCCACAGTTTTTAGGACATCACGTGTCTTGAAGACTCCTCAATCAATAAGGAATGGTAACCTATGACCCCCATGGCTTTATGGGAAAACAACTACCTCATAACCCTGCTATTGTTTATCTCCCTCCCGAGCTTATATAGTTTGTTCCTGGCTGGGTGTGAGGTTGCACCATGGGTGCCAAAAAGAGCCAAAACTCTAAGCTTCTCCGTGGTATGCAACTGCTGACACAGCCAGCTTAAAAAAAAAAAAAAAAAAAAAAGGACATCCAGGCAGAAATATTAAACGTTCACTCACAGGGTGGTTTCCTGAGGTGGCGTCAGCCTGAGGGAATGTTCAAGGCTTCAGGGTTTCTATACCCCAAAGCTTGCTGCACAGGCGGAGCCAAGACTAAGTCAGACTGTTTCTACAGTGACCCCCGTCCTCCTACTGACCGCAGCGGTTAGAGCGGGTAAAAACCACTCTTTCATGAACAGATTCCTGCAGGCCATAGCATGACAGAGTGTTTTCCGTCTGTGCTTAGCAGGAGGCGAGGGTGAGGAGACGTGATCGTGATCAGGGATCTCGTGTTCTCAACTTATAACCTCAACAATCTTCGTCATTTGTTTTTGTTTTTTGCTTGAATACAAAAACGAGATGAAAATAACGTAGATAATATCAATATACAAATCTCAAAGTAAACTAGACACATAACTTCAAAGAAACAATTAGAAAAACTTGAATATCCTAACATAGTTGGCTAGACTTATAAAAAACATGAATCCAAAAGAAAAACGTGAGAAATCAAAGTGCAGTCAGGTGTGACCATAAAAAAAAACAAAAAAAACAGGAAAAAGGGCACGGGATGAGTTTGAAATGGGGGACGGAGATGTGTCTGACCAGTGTTACACTTGGCTCAGATGGAGGAAACTGGCCGTCTGAACGTGTGAGAGCTAAAGGGAGAGGACTAACACATCCACAGCTGGGATCAGTCCAGACATTTCCCCCTTCCACAAACCCAGACCACCAGACATACATTCAGCATAATCCTGCTTGGCAGGGGCCCAGTTCTATACACTGGTCACTTTTTTAGCTCTATTTATGGAAAAATAATGGAAAGTTACTGTACAGCCTAAAGAACATACACTCATGATGTTACAAAAAACAGTACTACAAGTTCTGAGAGGGAAAAAAATTTAAGAAAATTATTTTGCCTTCTTGGCAAGAGTTAGGCTACATCACAGGATTGTTAATCTAACTTCTATATTTGCATAGTAATTATGAAGCAACCACATGCCTCTAATTAGCATAGCATAAAGACTATGAAGGGACACACAGGTAGCTGGGGTCATTCAAAGGTGACACAATCCTTCAACCAGCATGTGTGATGTTCTTTTATCATCACATCTTATTTGTAAAAAAAAAAGGAAAAAGAAATAAAGTAAACATTTGTGGCCATGTTAGCTGTTTTCTTTTGGGGTTTTTTGTTAAAGCTGAGCCGAGGTAAGCTAAGGCTACCTGGACATTTCTATGAGCTCATAGACATTTCTCTTTATATGTTGTAAAAAGCCTAAGAAGCCAATATTTCACATGAAAAATGTGAAGTTGGATGACTTCAGCATGACTGGCTGTGTCGGAAATAATGAATGAAGGAAAACCCTAACCCACACTAAACACACTACTCATGACTTATTTATTTAAATAAATGTTGTCATTATTAAGTAAATAAAGTCCCACATTCTTAGACTTGTGGTGACTTACAAAAATAGGAATCCTCCTCCGTTTAGCTCTTTTCACAGAGTGTGAAGTGACCATTACTGAACTGTTTCCAACTGGAGATCAGACTTCTTTTTCAGACTGGGTCCTCTCACTCATTAGTTGTGTGAACATGAGCCTGTGGTCTAGCCAGTGTCTGACTAATGCTTCCACTACTGTGCATTTCTTCTGCTTTATTCAGCCTCCCAGTCGTGCCGCACGTTTATCTGCACGTGCCCCAACCCACCCACACACCCACCTACCCCTTCTCCACCCTACACAACATGAATGATAATCACTCCACAGTTTAGATGAAAAGCAGGAGAACAGCGAGGCTCTTTGAAATGACTTTCACATCTGCTCCATCCCAATCTCTCTGCCTCACTGGCCCCACGTTTGCCTGAAGTGAATGAGAACGGGTGTGTGTGTGTGTGTTTGTGTGTGTGTCTGTGTGTTTTGCATCTGGAATACCTATCAGCTAGCATAGTGCACCAATCATGGAAATGAAAAGGTAAAGACTCTTTATTAACATTAGACTAGACCAGATGTGTAAATACACACACCTACAACTGACTGTATTATAAAAAGCCATACTGCATGTAAAAATTACTTAGAATGCAAAATTATTACTGTAGTATAATAACTTATTTACTTAATTTTAAAGATTTATTTTTGGGCGTCTATGCCTTTATTTGATCAGGCAGTGGAGAGTAGGAAACCAGAGACAGAGTGGGGAATGACATATGGAGAAAGAAACCATGGGTCAAACTCAAACCTGCTTGGAGGGCTCACAGCCTCCGTTCACCAACTAAGCCAACCAGTGCCCTAATTTAATTAACTTTTAATTCATAAATAGATGTGTAGTAGCCTTATTTCAAAAGATCGGTGTGCCTTCAAAGTGACCTAACGTGTTCGAATCAATAGTTCAATAGATTGTAATGACAGATCATTTGTATTCTTGGTCAACGATTATCCCTTCAATATAACACTGAACAGAAAATGTTAAAGCAACAATAAGCTTCATGAATAGAAGTAGCTAAGCCCCAGCTAACCAAAAAAAGTGTTAGCTTAGAAGTTCAATTTGAACAGCTACTGATCCAAACACAGGTATTTAAAGACATTATGTCACTGTGATGGCAAACTGGGAGACATACCCTGCTACATAAGCCCCTATAGCTATCCCTATGTCTATCTTTACATAAAATAACTGTACAATTTACTGTGGACTGCAGGTTATAATTAATGCATCTCCAATAAACCAGGCGCCAACTGCATTAAAGTAACATTTCTCTCTTAGACACTGTTTCAAAGTAAATCTTACATTCAAATGGTCTTATTATGTAATATCTGAAACATAAGTCCCAGAGCACATGTTTAATGCACATCCGTTAGAACAATGTGCAGATGGTTAATCATACATTTCAGGTATGTATGATTTAAGTCTGGAATTTGGGCACTCAGCACCAAAAGGAGATCTGAGGCCACAGTGCGATCCAGCTGTTGAACATGTGGTGAATCTGTCGGCTACTTAATTCACAGGAGAAAAACTGGCTCCTCCTCCAGATTGCATCAACCCAATCTCCCCTCACTCCCTCTCCTCCTCACAAGCCTCACACATACATCATGTTGGAGGCAAAATCCACCTTTGGCTCGGGTTTCCTTTCGTTGTTCAGGAGTGAATGTGAAGAGCTGACGTCTTGTAAGAAGAAACTGTTGCGTCTAATGGAGAAGTGTGACCTTTGCCCTGTGTGGAAGTGTAAAGAATGGAAAGGCTTTTAACTGCTGCATTCTGTTATCACAACTGGCGTCTGACGTCTTTGTGTTGAATCTGGATCTAAGTGTTTGGGTGAAGTTGACACGCCAAGTGTTGGGCAACTTGCAGCTGCTTTTGGGGGCTCAATCTTTTTCACAACTTCCTCCTTCCATAGGAGATGGATTTACACTTTAAATCTTCAAGAGCTTCCGCAAGCTGATGAACTTTATTTTAAAAGTCGAACAAAAGGTTTCAAATAAGAGGGATTCATGCTTACCTGTGTGACAGTTCCATCTGAGACTATGTATTTACATGACAGCTTTTTAGGAAAACCCACAGAGTGAGACGGCCTGGGATGACTCCTAATAAAAATGTAACTATCCTTAAATAACACGTCCCCCTCTCTCATAAACATCTCACATATACAGCATTAAACTTCAGGCATCTTCTAATTAAAGGGTTGTATGAAAAAATCATCCTGTGGGCACTGATGGCACGTGCAGCATGCCATTAACACGTGAATCCCAATGAGACATGGCAGAGTCCCTAGCAGATGATAAACAAAGTTTCCTGGCTTCATAGTGTTTGGTTCTGCTGTCGAATGTAATCTCCCAGAACTACTGACTCACAGACTGCATCTGTTATAATCGCCTCCATCTGACACTAACACACACAGGCTGAACAATAAAGAAACTGGTTAGATTCAAGAAAAGATATAAAGAAGCAAAACTTCCCATTATTGTTTCCAATATAACAGATTTCAGAGAGGACTGTTGTAATGGAATGAATGTTCTCGTAACTCTCAGAGACAGAGGTTGAAATGTTGAGAGGCGTGGCTTTTATCTTCAGAGAAGGGGTCAGTAGCAGACTGCTTTTGCTTAGACAAGACGAAGGTTAAAGAGGTCAGAAGCTAGCTCTGAAAGGAGCTTGAAATGACTGCAAAAGACACTCAGGATTACTGCGGCAAAAGTCTCTTTATATTTTGTGAAGCTGATGCCCTGATGACATTTGGGGCTCATGTCCTTAGTTGCACCTCTTGGCAGGAGAAGCAGATGTTTTTTATTAATGACAGACTGGTGCTTTCAGTAGACATATCATTTGTGGTCAAAGCTGAACTTCTATCTTCTCAAATTCACATATACTGCAAAGTATTCTCATGATGTCTCCCTCACAAAAACAAAATAATTGTAACTTTGTGAGCTTAAGAATTATCCTGCCTCACAGTATAGAAAAAGTACTCAACACCATAGATTGTATAAAAAGATGGATGAGATGAAAGCTCCCCGAAAGTGAAGCCAAACACATTTGGAGCTCCTCCTACTGGCTGAATGCAATGCTAAAATACACGTTGAATAAACATTTCTCATACGTGGTATCTGTCGTTAAAGTTAGTTCTTTTCAGAAGATAAGTATCAATTTTCTATTTAATGCTTAAAAACATTTTTATTACATCATGTTCACAGCTTTGTGCTCTGGATTAGCAGAGTAGAGGAGGAACATCAAAAGAAAATGTAACAAACACAACACAAGAGCCATTCAACTTTACATAGCCATGAATGTCTGCTTCAAGAATGCCTTCTGCTGTCAACTGTACCAACTTGAGGCATTTCTGCTGTTTTATCTGTAGGTTAATGTGTGTTTTGTTAAACTGCAGGATGTCAATGGTGCAGCTCAACCAGACAATTACTACTGCGCAGACTCTGACAGGCCAAATGATGCCACCAGTGCAAGATAGGGATGGTGTCGCAAGGGATATTTGGTTCATTTTTTTTTTTTTTTACAATGGGAGGAGATGAAGTTGTCCATCTTTATATAAAGTTACTGCTCATTGATACAAGAAGAAATAGCTGACACTCCAAATTCTGTCACTCGTATTCAGGATATTCACTTAAATCATATCAACATGAACATCAGCGATTATAGAACAGCCTAAAGTAGATATAATGTGTTGTTGAGCTGAACGTGTCATATTTCAAACATATACATTTAATCATGTTCAAGTTAAGAGGATTCTCATTTAAGTAAAAAAAAATAGTTGCTCAACATTTTTAGCACTGACCTTTACTTGGACAGTAGTGCTCACTCAGAAAGGGTGTTAACGTCCCAGAATGCAAATACAAAATGTCGATTCATGCTGCGAGTAAACAGATTAAAGGAACAGTGCTGCCCCTTGCTGACGTCAGCTCAAGCATGGTTAAAGAGGTGTAGCTGCACCTTTACCGTTCCTCTCCCCTGCGACTTAAATGGCTTTTACCAGACTGTGGAAATATTTACAGGTTGGGGGACTTAACACCCCTGAGACACTAAATACACAAGACCAATAGGGAACAAGAGGGTGCTGCTGACATGACTGTAAACTAAAGAAAGTTGTGAATATGGGTTCAGTAGTTCATGATTAAAACTTCTCCTGTCTTCTCCAATCTTCTTTTTTCTTCCTGACACATCAAGGCATGAGAAAGAGTGCTTTGCTTGTTCATATTAGAAGGCTGGTGGGAGTTTAACCCTTATTACAAGAGCAGAGCCTATGTTTTTTACTGGATTCAATTAAGACAACACAAATCTGAAATCCATGTGAAGCCTGTTTGGTATGAATGCAGTCATGGTGTTAAAACATCCAGTATTGTTAGCTTCCAAAGAAATGTTGCTTCATCTCTTTCTGTCTGGTTTTAATAGGTAAACCACTCATGGGAGTGTGTTTAAATATCTTGCTCTCTGACAGCCTGAATAATAGCCCTGTTCTCCCTTCCCTCCCTTTCTCCAGTCACTCAGTCACGTCCACAAACCCACACTGACTTTCCATCCGGTACAAAGGCGTTCTCTGCAGCAAGACAGGATGGTCTTCCCTCTCACTGAGTCATCTCCAAAATCTCCCCGGCGGCAGAGTGGGGGTCTAGTGTGGGCCGAGTTAGACTAATAGAAGCCTGGTAAAGTCATTAGTGCAAACTTTATAGGATAACTATTCCACTGGCTTGATGTTCAGGTTTATACATTACCAAGGACAGTTTGCAGGCATACTAATAAGTCAATTGGGATAAAATGTTACAAGACATTTATTTGAATATCAAGTTTAAACTGTTTTTTCTCTAGCTAATTAGTTAGCTTAATTGTCTAAAACACGGGAAATCATATTTTAAATTGTATTGTATCATGTACTGCACAATATACCTTGAATTACGAAACAACTGGTCACTGTAATTTATGATCTGACCGATTAACACGGTAGTGTGAATGAATTTCAAACATAAATAACTTTAACTTTAACTAAGTTTGCTATATAATTAAGCACCCTGAAACTGTCCTTTTACAGTAGTAGCATGTTACAGCTAATGAAGCTACAGGAACCACCCGTTGACGTGGTTAGCAACTGATTTGAATCGACTGCCACAATGTTTACAAGCAATCAATTTAAAAAAAAAAAAGTCCTTATAGGCTTAGCTGTAGCAACCTGATTTAGCAAACCCCTCCTTTGAAACATGCTAGAAATAACTAAGAACTTTTAACAAAGACTCATGGATAGATTTGAAAAACGGCTGCTGCAGCTGAGTCTTGATCTGTATCTAATTTATGAGAGCCAGATCTAGAGCAGGGGTGTGAAAGTAATTGATTTAATCAAAAATGTGATTCTATGATTTATTTTACAATGCTCCTCTTAATAATTACAGAAAATCAGACAGACATTAAATTCAGTCCTCTGATCTGTCTGGCTCAGTCTGGAAAGTTGGAAGGATTTAAAGAAAACACTTTTAACTGCTTAGCCTCGGAGCAATGTCTGCACCCTGATAAGTTCCTTCCTTCATCCTAAGCCTATCCTTTCTTCCTCTTTTATTGTTCCTAACATCTGTTTGAGTTACACGTGTCTACTTGAACCAGGTGCGGTTGCTACTGGAGTGTTATTAATTATGTGATCAAGCGATCCCACCCTGGGTGTTTACATTAGTTTAAGTATAAAAGCCTATAATCCATAGTTTACGGTGTGCAGGTTTATTTGAGAGTGACTTTCTTTATGAGAACTTTACATACCTCATCGTTGTTGGCCTGGTTCCGAATGAACTTGAAGCCAGGAATGCGCTTCCGCGTGCACACCACTCCGACATCCTCTGAATGCTTGCAGTCAGACACTCCAAAGCCGTTAGACTCACACTGAGCCAGGCTCTTCTCTCCACCAGTGCAATGCACGTTGTCGAGCCAGATGTGGCCTGAAATGGCAAGAGATGAAGATATGTGAAAATGGCAATACGCAGAGATGCAGATTTTCTTTGAAGCACATCCAGTGAGGAGTTTGTTTTGCATTATTTAGTTCAGTTAGAGTGGATGAAGGAGATTAGCATGAGGTTTATATGTGGCCATATTGGGTTTTTTCTGATTATTTTTTTAATAAAAGGAGCATCACCTTGTTTACCAAATTGAACTAGAAAGAATAACATACATTTACATAATCAATATACTGTAGTTTCAACCCTAGATCCGTGTTGTTTTCTACTTTTTGGATGGCAGGACTTCTACTTTTTTTTATGTATGCCCTGATTTTCTCACTCTGGTCTAATATGTTGATTTATCAGACAATTAAATAAAATTCTTGGGACTTGCAGAGCTGAGGTTTCCCTTATAAGGGAACTTGGTTGACATGGGAAGTTTTGTGTAATCCTCTTTGTCGCCATGGTAACAACCAACAGGCTGCTCATCATTGGGACAGTCTCAACACGTTCCTGAACAACATCTTGATCATACCAAGGAAGTAACTGCGTGTCATTTGGTCACGTTGTTTCCTCTTGGCAGACAGATCATTACCCCAAGACTTCAGGAGCTGAATCCAAGTAAGAACCAGCTTGGTCTTAATGGTCTCACGTTTTTCTTAACCATGACTCAGCAGTTCCAGTTGGAATTCATCAGTATTGCTGTGTAATATCTACCATTTGCAGGCCTCATGGGAATGTTCACAAGCCAGTGAATTCAAACTCAAATATTAGCTGTATAGATACTAGCAAATATCAAACGATATCAAATCAAAACCGGTTTCGATACCAAGGCAACAAAAAAAGAAGTCTCCTGCACATGTCTTTGTGCAATTTAGACAGTGCTCTCTATTTCGCCTGTGTCAGCTTATAGTTAAAAATATGACAGAAGATCTCAAGAGTGTTTAACGCTTCGGTACTTTTGGATGCCATTGATTAAAATAAAACCATTTGCATCGTTTTTAAACATGTGGTTTTGAAAGGGAAAGATACTTTTGACAACTTGGTGTCAAGGAAATGACGAAGACTTGACTCCATACAATACGACTCAGTTGACTCAGATGGCTTACGTTGATGAAAGTTCATACATAAGAAGAATACTCATGAGGAGACATGATTCAACATCACACTTCTGTACTCATGTCTTGCTTAATAACATCTGCAGAACTTTTCGAAAGGCATCACATATATCCTAAAAGATATTACCATTATCAGGGTCACATTAACCCACCTAAACTAATCTGTGACATCAGTTACACTGGAGCAGACAATAAGTCTACCAAACATCCTTACAGATATCAGGAAGAACAGTTGTCACTCTCTAAGCTGTACTTGGTGTTCTAATAACAACTGAACTCTATCAGGTCTGACTGACATTAGAGAACAGTGAATAAACATAATGATATCTGTACATCATAATCTAAATAACTACAGACATTCCACCACACTTGGGCCCATTCAGTTAAATAGAGCTTTTATGTTCCCTTGAAGTCAACCACATAGACTTAATCTAAAATGAAAACAAACTAGACACAACAGTGTTCCTCGAAAACATTGAAATAATATGCATATTAGTTTGTTGCTCTTGTATTCCGCTTTCTGGTATTTTTTACACATTGCACAAATCTTTTTACAATTGCAAATCATAGTTGTTTAAAGGCAGCTGAGGAGCAGATTCTAACATGCCTGCAGGAAAAACCACTGTGCATCCAAAAAGGATGTCCTCCTACTAGTAAGGTAGTGATGTCTTCAATTAAAAACATTTGGTGGTTTCTTTCACTGGCGTGTAGGTCATCATAATTGGGAATGGAAAATGTGTCTCCAAGAACAGCATGAGAACATGAACATGTACACAGCTAATCTGGCCTTTAACATACTCTGCTTTCATTTTGATCCTCCCACAAGTTAAACATCTACTTGTCAGGAAAAGAAAAAGCTTTATATTTATCAGCCTTAAACGGTTGGTAATTTTAGTTATAAATGGCTGCATGCTATTTCAGAACACATTGAATACTCAGTTTAAACTTCCTGCCCTGCCTGTCACAGCAATTTTTCATCATTCAATGAGACACAAGAGTCTTGTAGTCCACTTTTATAAACATATGTATCTTAAAGCTCCCAAATCTTTAAGCTGCATTGATAACAAGCTGTACAAACAGCTGTGTGACGGCACAGGCAGTGAAGACATAAAACTGCTTATTAATTGCTTTTTTGTACATATTCAAGTTCATATTACTTCATAAATGGGATTCTTGGAGCTGTCGTAATGGGAAGCAAGTAGCTAATTTAATTACTTTGCTTTTGTAGCAGCCTCCTGGATGTGGCCGATGTTCCCGGTGGGAAAACATGTGCTTTTAACAAGGGACACAAACTGACATTCACTAGCAGCAGCCAGCAGCCATCGTTTTTATTGTCAACAATCTCATCAGTGTTTTTTCATTGATGCAGGAATTTATTCAAGACAAAGCAGGAGGAGATGAGATTGCGTCTGTGTGTGTCTGGTTGACACACTCAGTGTTTCCACTCACACTACCCTACCCCACCCCCCAACAAGCTCAGACCTGATTGGAGTGTCGAAGTTCACCAATAATGGGGAAACCAGTTCCAGAGGGTATAAGCTGTCAGGCAGGAGTAATTGAGTTCCAAATTCAAGGCTATTAATGGAAAATAAGGAACTGTATTTAAAGATATTCTTCCCTGGTATTGGTGGTTGAACAGCTGAATGTTTGTTGGGATGAAAACTTTAAACTCTTGCCTCACTTATTGGAGGAAAGATTACTTTAATATGGTTCTTGGGGGTTTTGATTCAATTATACAAGTTTAAAATCCGACCCTTAAAATTACCAGGCGCTTGAATGAATAAGATACTAGTTTTCTTACCTTCTCCTTTTCCATACTTGGAAGAGGGCGACCAGGACTCGGCATCAATGAAGCCAAGCTCTCTGCACACCACTTGAGCAGCTTGGATGGTGAAGTCATCATCGCAGACCGTCCCCCACTCTCCATTGTAGAAAACCTCAACACGACCCTCGTAGTGTTTCCGCTTCTCCCCGGCTAGACGTAGTTGGATAACAGGAGTGCCAGAGCTTGGCTGGGCGCTGCACAGCGGCCACATTAACATCAAGGTGGACACAAGAAAGTGGATGGTGATTGGGCGAAGCATGTTGCAGGACAGGGGCAGTGATCTAGGGGGAGAAAAAACACACACACACACACACACAAGGAGGATTAGAAATAGAGGATGTTTAAAAGCTGCGTTGAACTAAAACTAGCTAGAGCTAAAGTAAGAGCTGAGCTTGGTTGTTGATTTTCACATATTTTTATCTCTCAAAAGAAAATATTCAAAATATATCTGATGAACTGACACTTGTTACGTTTACTTTTCTGAACACACAAATAACATCCTCTAATTACAAGAAGAAAAAATCTCCTGCTTAATAAAGCTGACATCTCGGTTGCTGTTATTGATTTTTTTTATCCAAAAAGTATTTGCTTTGGTGTATGTACATCACACACACTAAAATGTTTAAAGCTGTTGATTTCAAAATACACACTTGGACTTTAGGAGGGTGAAACACTTGAATCACTGTGAGCTTTCAACAGTAAATTTGACTCCAAGGTCATTTTTGAAAAACAAACAATTTTAAAAGCATTCAAAGCTGAGAGAACACATTATTGATATATTCACTAAAGCTTTTCAGAGCAAACAATAAAGAATCTCCAGAAGAATTTTCAGGTATTGATAGGCTTTTATGACCATTCTGTTCTGTAGAGTTAGTCAGCCTTAAGTGACAACAAATAAGAGCAGTTCAACCTTTATTTTTGTTTTACAGTTTGCTGTCCAGCGTTTAAAACTTTGACTTAATGGTAACTTCTTCCGAGTCCAAAGAGTTCAACCGTAGGCTGAATATTATCAAAAGACAGGCAGACAGTAATTTGTGGTGTATGTGGGTAGTACAGTCCATCATTTGAGCGAGTGAGCAGTTTCAGTACAAAGTCTTGTGCAGTAACATTTTGGATTGGCCATCATCAGACTTCCAAGGACCCCTAACTGGCCTCCATGCAACCACAAGTAGAAGCTTGTAAAACACATAGAGAACTCGCCACAGCTTGACAGTATTTGGAGCAAACAGTAATAATCCATTTGACTGCCAGTAAGAAAAATACTGCATTTGGTCTGACAGCCAAATGGAGGAGCAAACGTGGGCTCTTGCAGGGTGGGTGCTGCCCCTCTCGTTTATCTGCTGATCTGTGCCTGGAGGCTGTTTAACCAAGGGTCGGAGGGAAAAGTTGACTCCACCTTAATATTTCATGGCAAACCATGAAAGTGTCAAAGGAGGGAGGGACCAAAAGCCCGGAGGGAGGAATGTTCTTGGAGTTAAGGGAGGGGAGGAAGACAGTGAAAGTAAGGAGACCTCCACGTCTTGAGTCTGGGGGGTGGGTGGGGTGGAGGGGGGGGTGCTGTTCTTGCATAGTTGACGTCATAGAAACAGCCAAACAAACTGCAGATTGTACAAGCTTGAAAGGACACCCCTAGAGTGCGCCAGACGCCACTTGTGATCATCTGAAACATCTGGTTCATCTTCCCATGAAAGGAACAAGCTCAGCAGAGGCAAGAAGCAACTTTCAGATGGGTTTTTATATTTACTCTCAGAGTGCCTCTACTTACAGCAGTTAGATTCACAGGATCTGCTGTAAGTTTTAAACTAACCTACAAGGGTTCAGAGGTTACTCTTAAACAGCTTGGAGAGTGCAATCGTCCCTCTGGTCCACACCTGTCAACTTCATATAGGCCTAATGGTTTATGAAAAGTGAACACTTCTTTTGAATCTGTTGGATGTATGTTATATATAACACAGTTTACAAAACCAGAGGAGACACATCCACTTTCCTGCAGAGGAATGTTAACAGTTTACACTTTAATCAGGCTCAAAAACTTGATTTCTACCTATAGCAGCTTGTAAATGGATTGTTACTCAATAACTCCAGTTTCTGGATCAGAAACTTTGCCTATACCAGCTTGTAGCCTTTGTGACTGTTGCAGAGAATTTTACACATGAAGTCTTGCACAAGAGCAAAGCTGCCAAACAATAAGTGAAAGCTCTAGCCAAGATTGTCAAATCCAGGGAAAAACCCGAAGTTCCACATGCTGAATTTATTTCTCTCTCAGTCAAAGCCAATGCTCTTACAGTGTGTAGCCCATTGTTCTTTTTGGAAAAGAATTAATCAAAAATGAAGTGCCTGTTAATCCTTGAACAACACTGATTCCAATACTGACATGGAGTAATAAAAAAAATGTTTGCTTCTCATGGAATCATGATAATATCAGTAGGCCTATGAGAGCGACATGAAGAGCTTAGTGATGATTATTCTGTTCAACATTTAGGTAATAACTATGCTAACTTTAACCAGCAGCGACACTAAAAAAGCAGACAAATAGAAAATAGAAAACCAAAAATATAACCTTTAAACGAGACAAATGTCATTTTTTTTTACATCTTCTAGAGGAACTTTGCTGTCTTAATGTTTTACACACTTATGAAATTGCGAAACAACTTCACAACAATGGAGGACAAGCCTGAGATATGCATATAGTAGCCTGATAGTTTATAAAGTGAAATAAAACACTTACTTTGACAGGCGGAAAAAAGCAGCACAGCCTTTCCAAGAACAGACCCTGAGGTTTCCAACCTGTTGCAGGGGATGAGATGAGAAGCAGCGCTTCTTTGTCCCCTTTAGTACCCCTAACTCTGCTCCCCTCACAGCTGGCAGGCCCGTCCCACTCATCGGCAAACAGAGTAGCCAATCAGAGTTCGCCTCAGCATCCTGGACCCGCCCACTCCTGCTCAATCACCAGGGTTACAAAAACAGTTCACATGAGCTGAAAGTAGACTGCATGTGTGGGTTGTGAAACACTTAAAATCTGTATAACTTTTATTTACTGAAATATAGGCATAATGGCTAACAAGTGACAATGATAAGATAATGATGTATCTTTACATTTTTTAATCAAAAGGTTATTATATGATTGTCTTCTGAGGATATTCCCTTGTTTTTACACATATGTTAAGTGTACCCTAGTTTTGATGCAAAGGGCGCACTCAGTTAAGACAATATAATGTCATAAAACAATATAATGTGTTCAAAGTTCAAGATGTGAACATCAGGAAATGGCCCCACATTCTAAAACATCACAAAGTCAATGCACATTAAGGTTGGCTGTGAACTGTTTTCTACAATTAACACTGAAATAAAGGGTGTAAGAAGGCTAAGTGATATAGGGTCCTTGGTCGGTGTCCTTAAAGTTAAATCAACATTATCATTGATATTCAAATGTAATCAAGTGACTGCTGTAACGTGTTAGAGCTGATTTAATTGAACATCAACTCTTGTGACTCTATTAGTTTTTGCCTCCCGTTAGATGTATCATTGTTTATCCATCCTCACGAGAACGGTGAACGAGATTTCTGTCAACCAAGCCCATCTAAATCCACTTGATATCTTCACATCATGCTATGACTGACATTATGGACAAGTTTAATGACAGGCAAACAAAACAAATCAAAAGAGACTGAATAACTGCATTTCTGTGATGTCTATAGGACCCTCTGATTCATCTGGTTTGAAAATCTCTCCTGAAGGTCTCAGCAGGACAGGGTCTGTGTTTGAGGTGCAGCTGTGTATCAGGACACCACCATGTGGTGAAAAGGTGCAACAAAGACTTACCCTGGGTAAGTTAGGGCAGAGTAAATGGAAAAATTGATAAAACTCTTAAAAATATGTCAAGACTGTACCTGTATTTAAAAACATAGAGCTATATACACACAACATGTAAGTTAATTTAAATAGCCTAAGTGATAGGCCTATTAAAAGAAACGTAACTGTCTAATAATTCTAATCATTTCACCATCACCATGCATGTTTATTTTTTAAACGTCTAATGCATATTCATAGCAGATATAGGAATAGGGTGCTGATCAAGTATCACATTTTTAGATTTCTCTACAACCAGGTTTGGTTCTGCCAGTGTTTGTTTTACATGTAGTCAATTAGTAACAGTCATCCTCCTCCTGTGCTTTCATGTTCTACTGTTCATTTAGAGTAAATTTGCTTGTCTTTTCTTTTTAAACCAATACAAAATATGAAGCACATCTCCTGAGTACAGGAAGTTACAACCAGACTGAACACTTAAGAGCAAGTGTAACACTGGTAGGAGTCCCAGTTTGTGATTTAATCCACTTAGATGTGATTTTTCATTTTAATTTGGTTTTATAAATTTACCTTAAAATGTTTAGAAATTGACATCTGCTTACAAATACTGCCAAGCCGCTGTGGTGGATTAGTCCACATGAACAGAGACAGCTTCGGAAAACTTTTATGACTACATTGTTTTATCACACTGCCGGAAGAAAACTGCAGGCCATTGACTCACAAACAAACTGCCACTAATGATGTGTTTAAAAAAAGAGAAGCAAGAAAACAAGGATGAAGTTTGGCCTCTGGCTGACCTGTAGGAATAACAATGTTTGAGTTTACCTCTGTTTATGCTCAGGGCTTACAGCAACAGTAAACTCGGATACAACAAAGATGTTGTTTGTTTCAAATGTGAAAGAATTCAAGCAGAGACGGAAACTTAAGTAACACTCAATCTTCACCATTTATTCAGAAATGCACAAAATATATCCATTAACATACAATCTGTGTATACTTATTCCTTACATTTTACAAATATTCTCATGATAAAATATAAACATTTACACATGGTGTACTGTGACAATGAACTTGCATTAAAAAGCACCTTCAGACTAATGTAACAGCACTACAGGGACACATACAAACCAGTCTTATTTTAAAGTGATATTTGGCAAATGATTGTGCTGATGAAAAAGAAGATTTACATTTGAAACACTTCTGTCTAAAAGTGCACTTGAGTGCTCCTTCAGGTTCAATCACACCAGAAAATGCTGATGTTAGCAAAGGAGATGTTATTTCATGCTTACCAAAAACAAAGAGCTTTGCCTTATAAAGTAATGTGGCTGAAGTATGCCCATTTATAAACTGTAACCTGCAAACCCATGATGGTTAACTATTGTTCAGAATACTTTGATCATCAAAGATATATTTTCATATGACACTTTGGCAAACAGAGTTTGGAAACAACAGTTTTACAAAATAGAGGCACAGCAGCAACATTTGGACTCCAAGATCAAGTATGAATACAGTCAAATATACAGTATGTCTACATGGCAGGGACAGAATGTGTTTCTAACTTTTCAACACTCAAACACAGAATGAGGAAATCAAACATGGCACCTGTTTGAATAATACAGAATAATAAGAGCAGATTTCACTACTCCAGTTTTAAACTGATCTTAAGTTCCAACCAGCACTGTCAAACCATCAAATTACTAAAAATAAAGAAAATAATTTAGATTGTGATTAATTTAAATGCTTTTCATATCAACAATCCCGTTGATTTTTGGGGGGCATATTGGTCATGAAATCCAAACTGCAGGACTGAGAACTTTATCACATGTTGTTTATGTGACCTTGTGTTAAAAAAGCCAAAGACTACATGTGAAATCATTTGACTAATATTACAGAAGAAGACAACCTACAGATCTAAAAAAAAAATCTGCATCCAAAAAGAAATTGGAGAAGGAAAATGTAAAGGCAAGAAAACTAATCCTACATGATCTGTTCAGGCACTGGATTAAGAAAAGTGTTCTTTCATTAAAGGCTTTATATGCGATTTTTCACACTTAAATATAATAGAAATCAAGTTTATCCTCTGAAAATAACTCTGAGTCATGACTGTCTACAATGAGTGTAACACCCGAGTCCCACTGTCTGTGATGCGTTTCCTGAGTCCTATCTTCAGTTTGTTTACATCGACAGGACAGCAGGCCGACTTATCCCCTCGCTTATAAAAGTTGTTTAATTGAGGGACTAGAGAAAAGAAGAATAACATACTGTACTCACTGCTTAACTGTGTTTCTAGATCACGCTCATTTCATGTAAATTTACATGCAGTGTGAAGATACGAGCATAATAAAGATCGCTAGCATTAGCATGCTAACACAACAATGCAGCGCAAGTTGTTTTGGTTTCATGCTGGTGCTCAAGGGCGACATCTGCTGGATCAAAAAAATCACATATAAAGCCTTTAAACTGTATCATCAGCAGTTACACACAGAGAAAACACACTGCTAAAGATGTCCGTGCTCTGTCCCAAAAAGTGGCAATGTGAATTTTTAAAGAAACATACTTAATTTTATTTTTTGATGTATACACCTTTCAAAGAAGAGGGTCAACTTCTAAAAACGGATCATCTATAACATTACCTTTACTGTGCACCCAGAACCAAAGCTCCACATGTCATGGCACTTCTCCTTTAAATGAATCAAAATACTTTGTCATGATCATTTTGTGCTTCTTCAAACTGCCACTACACGATCAACACATTGATCACATATTGTTCTGGTTTCACTTTTATGTTTTATAAAAAAGAGCGATTGCAGCCATTCTCTGTTTAAATGTATGAAAAATAAAATCAGAAAGAAAGAAAAGTTGTCATGTGTTTGACCGTGATACTGTACAGAATTTTACATCTTTAAAGTTGATGAAAGGCCTCTTATCCTGTTCCCAGTTTGGTGATCAGTTCGTCGCAGATCTTAGTGAGCTCCTCGATTTCTTGATTCTGTGAGAGACGGCGAGACAGTGTAAGAAGCAGAGGGTAATGCAAAAATGACAGAAGAGAAGCACCAATTTTTACAGTTATCATCTAAAGAGGCGACGTCCGGAAGAGCAAAAAACTGCAGTTCCTCGAGTGTCCACTTGAGGCTGGCTCACAGTCCAATTTCTACATTTGTTATAAAAATATATATACAGCCTGGTTTAGAAAATAAATATATTAGGTCTGACTATCTCAAAATGTAACAGCACACACAGGTTTTTTTTTTATCACAATCATCTCTTTCGATTATATCGACTCGTGTCCTCAGCTCCAGCTCTTTGTCTATTACTAGGTTTACACAAAGTTAGTTTGAGACAGCATTTCCAACATGGCGACCACCATCGATGGGCTTCGAAAGTCCGCTTCAAAAACCAATGGGTGACGACACTGAGACTTCATCCATGTTTATATAACAAATGGTATCATCTAAGTCTTTGAATCTGTAGGCAGGGATCTGTGCATCTATTGCAGATTTTAAACTTTAACTCTGCACTGTAACTTTTAACTCTATTTATATTTTTACTTTATTTATTTCAATTAATTTCATTTGAATTATTTTTATTTGAACATATCTTCAGATTTAATAATTTCATAAATGTTCTATTTTAATGTTTCTTTTCTTTGTTGTGGTGCTTTTGATGTCTTGTGTGAAGCACTTTGAATTGCCTTGTTGTGGAAATGTGCTATATAAATAAACTTGCCTTGCCTTGCAGCAGACGCAACTTTTACACTAACAAGCTAATCCACTGTGCTGTTCTCAACAAGAAGAACGAAAAATGTTTCTCATTTTTATACAAGTGCAACAAGTAAAAAGCTGATAAGTCGAGAATTGCATCCCTTTCACTAATGGAGACTATAATAAGGGACAGAAAAACAGAGGTTTTGGTATTGGAGAAGTGTATAGGTACATTAGTCTTCACCTTGGAAAACTACAACACTTTAATCCTTTCAGTGAAATAAACACACAGACAAATCTTACATGTGATAATATTGCAGTCAGCCTACCTTTTGAAGGACAGCTCTCTCAAGTGACTCCACTTTCATCTGCTCCTTCCTCAAGCTTGCGTTGAGTGCGACACCCTCAGAGTTGGCTTTGGCGCGTACCTGTGCTATATCCTCATTAGCCCTGTTGGAGAGGGAGTGAAGAAGATGATAGGCCTTGCAATGCAAATAGGTTTTCAGGATTAACAACAGGTCTTGTGAATCGTCTAAAGAGAGTCAGAAACTGCAGAATTGGAAGCTTACTTATCCAGTTTCTCCTCAGCGTGCACCTTGAGGGTTTGATATCTCTGCTCTTCCTGCTTGATCCGCATCAGGTAGTCCTGCGCACACTTCTTCAGCACCTCCTCATTCTGGAAAGATAAAAAGAAAATGGTGATTTTTCTATTAGGTGATTTTGGTTTGCATAGCATGTCTTGACATTCAAATTGAAGCTCTGCTGACCTTTTTAAAGCCCTCCAGGACTCCCTTCATATTCTCGTACCTCCTGAAGAGGTCAGCAAAGGAGCGCTCCACAGAGTTGAGGTCAGCTATTGCCTGATCTCTCTCTAAAGTCAACTGCCTGACAGACTTACTGCTGGACACAGTCTTCTGCTGCTGCTCATCCTCTGGAATCAACAGAGGAGTCAGAGTATTAGATTTTAATGAAGCAAGAGGCCTTGCTCTATGGCTTTTTAGAAATAGTCATTTGTTATCCTACAATTGGTTTTGTATCTTTAAGCTGTTAATGCTGTGTGTAAAAGAAAGCACGAGCCTAGAGGATACTTTTTGTGTGTTGACGTCCAGCTAGGCTTGAAACTTTTACATGTTTTTATAAAAAGCAGTAGTTCTTCAAATGTAATAAATTACAACAGGATAGTGACCCAAATCAAACGAAAAAAAAGCAAAACAAGCTATGTGCAGTTTTTATAAATGTGTCTTGTGTCTTACAGCAGGATTGATTTGTTGTTTTTTAAATCATTTATTTTAGGAAACCTTTTACATAAACCTGACAGAGACTGCAGATGACAAACTAGTCTTTGGCTATTTAACCTAAAAATCATGTTAATGTAACATCTTGGACTATCCATTCTCAAATAAATTTTAGTAATAAATAACTATTTCTCACTGCAAAGGTGAGATTCCTGAAAAGTTCAACAGATCTAGATCTCATGTTTAAATATTTTAGGACCTCTATGTTGCATCACAGGGCTGGCAGAACTTCACAAGGGTCGCTACAGAATGCTTTCTGGTGCTTTTGGCCAATAGAAGAAATCATGTCAATAAATTTGGTCCGAAATCTTTTTTTTTCCAAAAAATATTTCCAGATGTATCAACAGAAAAGATCTACACTTAATCAACTTTGACAATGATGTTTACACCCAAAGAATGAAGCTGCAGGGCTAAACCTAAACTTAAGTACTACAACAGGCACTACACAATGTGCCAGACATGACAGTTGCGATAAACATTTGATGTGCATCCTTACATTGACACAATGTTCACTCCACTGCCAAAAAAACAGTGTGTATGTAGAACACCTTCTTATAATATAAAATAATACATAATATATAAGAAGATATAAGGAGGCTTCCTGCAGCAATAACATTCTTCACCCTTCTGTATTTAAAAAAAAAATGTATGTAGAAAATATGACCACCAGGTGGCCGCAACTCACCAATCATCTGTGCAACTGTTTTCTCATATTCTGCAACTATTGTCCTGTTGAGATTAAAGCAGAGTTAACCACTCGTCTATGTTTTTCTAAATTATTCAGATGTTGTTGTTTTTTTCACAATTGTGCCACAATATCTTAAAATATGCAGCTAGGCTTTTAAGAAACAGTGATGCTTTATACCTCATCTCCAAAACCTCGGCTCTGCTCTCTTCGTATTTCCTCTTCCACTCATTGACCTCTATCTCTTTAGTGATGATCTGATTGGAAGACGGGATGTCAATTTCCAGGTATAGAAACATAAATGCATAACGCTGTGAAGGCCTTATTTGTGATTGTGTGGCAGTGATGTACCTCTTCTCTGATCAGGGTGAGCACTGCGGCCTTGTCCATCTCACTCAGCGGCATGTTGTCCTGAGACAGAGCTGCTACGCCTGTGGTGTCGCTGAGCGCCACCTTTTCTTTTTGGCTCATGGACACCTCACTCTGCAGATCATGCTGAAAGCATAGTGTATGTTTAGTTTGAGATCTGACAAAAACATCCACGATCTTTACATTTTGTGAGGAGACTTATGGTCACTAATCGCTTCAGCTGCTGATTTTACTTTCCGCAAGGAGTGTTCTGTGAAAACAGTTTTCAACTTCATTTATTCTGTTCAGCAAGCCTCAGGATAACCTGAAGGTGCAAGTGTGGTTCTCTAAGAAAAAAAACTGTGTGAGTCACAACTTTTAAAATGTATGATGGTAAAATAGCAGGTGATAAGTCAGCAACCAGTATAAGAATTTAAAATAGTATTTTGGCTTTCCTATTTGAGATATAGCACAATAAGTGCAAAACAAGCTGGTAATGTTGAATTATTCATATAGGCATCCCTCTCTGTGTTCTCTATAGTCCACTTACCGTCTCATCCTTCAGACTGCAGGGATCCTTCTCTTCAAAGTGATCTGACGTCTTAAACTCAGCACCTTTGAGGAGAAAAGAAAAAGTACATAATTGATTTAGAAATGTTAATTTAACTTATGAGGTATACCTAAGAAACAAAAAAAGAAACAGATCAACAAAGAAGGCTATCTGTCAAAAGCTTACCTGAGCCTCATTTCTCTTTGAATCGTCTTGATTCCAAGATAAGAAAATGTTGTTTTATACCTGCAACACTTGCCACAGACTGGTTTTTAAACCCAACTGTGTGAAGCATTTGTTTAGAAGTGTTATATTTTTAACTTTCTATATCCAGGACAGGTGTTTTGCTGTGCAAGCTTGCTCTATTTTTCTCCTCCTCTCGACGGTTGTTTTTCCTTCTCCAATAGTCTAACAGAACTTCTTATGTTACAGTCTCAGTCTCCTTGTTGTCATTTTACAGTTAGGCATTCCTCTGATCATAAATAGAAAAAAAGGAGCACACTCGACAATAGATAACGTTTCAGGTTCACGACTGCAACAAGGCTAAAAAAAGAGACAGAAAAGTCAGCACACTGAAAGCCTAGTGCTGAAACATGTCCATTGCTGTCTTGTACGCTGCTCTTACCCAGATAGAGAAAACTTGAAAGACATTTAGTGTGCTGACTTTTCTTGTCTCTTTGTTCCTCTGACCATGGCTACATCCTGAACACCTCATGCAAACACTTAACCTAAATAGATTATCTATAAAATAATACTCAATAAAAAGAAAATGTCTTAAAAAGAATCAAACATAAAGTTAGAAAGTTAGAAGGAATCAAACAGACCACATGTTATCAGTATCATTTAGTCTACTTGTGCTGTTTGCTTCACATCATAAAACATGCAGTGCTTCATGAACAGATAACAAAGAACAGAAAGTCCTTCCACTGAAGTCTAAATGAGCTCTAAACACTCGTTCTCTACATGAAAGGGTTCCAGCACATACCATCCAAAACAGACTTCTCAATGATCGGCTGTATCGTGGCAGATGCTTTGAAGCATTCAGGTTCCTCTCTCTCCTCCTCGCTGTCTATTGCTGGACCCATGATGCCTGTGGAAGCAAGCTTCTCCTCATCTGTGGCGTGATGAACCCGCTGAGTGATCTCTGGCGTCTGAACCACCACCTCGTCCTCCTCCTGAGACAAGATTCAACAGGTTTAACATCAATCCTGGGTTTTTCATTTAAAAAATCATGCTGAGTAAATGAAAATACTTCTTCTTTTTAAAAGAAAAGAAAATAGTACAGTTGTAGAGCTGAAATGTTGATGAGCATTGAGTGTATACAGTACTTTTTATACATAAAAGTCACTTAAAACAATCGTTGAGATATCACCAATTTTTTTTTTATAATGGTGGGGTGGTCACAACAATAGTTTGCCTTGACAATCTGTGTAACAATAAGTCAACTCTTGTATCTATTACATCTTATCAGAGGTGATAATGTGGAGGGCACACAGGAGCAGCTCTCTAATAATGGACTGCAGATGGATAAGTCACAGATCTGTCATCATGCCAAACAGGCACTGCAGAGACACTGCTGATGCTCCTGTCAGCTTGTGTTACCATGTTTATGTGTGTGTGTGTGTGTGTGTGTGTGTGTGTGTGTGTGTGTGTGTGTGTGTGTGTGTGTGTGTGTGTGTGTGTGTAAAGAAGCGAGGCCAAAGTGTGCGACAGCTGCTGAATAATGGACATTGCGGCGTCACTGCAGTAAGGTGAAACATTTTGGCCTGACACAACACTCTCACACAAAGTCACACGGTACCTTATTGCACACATCGAGAACCAAGGACTGGCTCTCGTCATACTTCTGAACTTTACAGGAATTCCTACAAGGCAAGCACATGATAACAACAAAACCGTCAGAATATAGAGATTCAGAGATTCAGATTTAGCATTTCCTTAGATACTTTAATTTCTTCCCTCTCATATCTATAACAGATATATGTGCCAGACCTCTGGAAGGGACACAAGACGGTTCAAATGACCTTGCAGATGTAGCAGGGGATGCTTTTTGAGGTGAGGTGACACAGAGGCAGACATTTATTTCCCTCACGTTCTCCCTAAGCACTGCAGTTCTAACGCAGCACGTGCCACGATGAGTGTAAAATGGAAAGCAAGCATGCAATGGGGAAAAAAAAGAGCGTCTATAGAGAGAGAGTACTTACAACAGAAAACAGAGAAACTTGACTTGTTCAGATGTCCTGAGGCCAAGAGTGGAGGACGAAAGCAGAGTTTTGGGGGGTTGCACAACAGACAGGAAGAGGAGGGATGAAGGATGAGGGGGGTATTGATGAAGAAGATGAAGAACAGAGAAAGGAGAGTGTGTGAGTGACTACAGGGTTCAGCTCAGCATGTTAGAATCTCAGCAGATAGTTTCAAGTTTGAAAAGAAACACAAGATGCAGATGGACCTGGAAAAACTAAATATAGTGCCGACCACCGACAGCTAGAAGCTCCTTTTGAAAGTCTATATATAACCGGTATGGGAATTGCATCAATGTGCAAGTGTCTGGCATGTGCTTAAAGCATTGTGTAGTATGCATCCAACCATAACAATCATCCAAAGAAATAATGAGTTCTGGAGCAAATTTAAAGAGAATATAGATAACAATGAAATGTGCATTTGTATTTTTGGGGGCAAATGAAACGAATTGAAAGTTCAGAAGCACAACAAAACATTGACTTACTTGATTGTCCTCTCTTTGCTTTTCTTGGGAATTTGCCTCACTTTCTTCTCCCCTGCTGTCGGTTTGCCTCCATCTTTCACTTTTACCTCCGGCTGTGGGACACTACTGGACGAGTCCTCTGCGCTAAGAGTTTTGGAGATTTAAAAGGGTCCACAGAGTCGTCCAAGTGATCAGGATCAAAACTGTAGGAGCCCTTAGGTAGCCCAGGAGAGCTGCCACTGCTACCGAATGGATTGAAGTTAGGATCGTCCCACTGACTGGGATCAAAGTTATATGTTCCTTTTTTAGGAATTGGAACGTCGTCAAGGTTCAAAGGTGCGGCAGAGTCTGAAACTGGCAAAGAAGGCTCTGGGGGAAGTTCTGATACCGGTTCTGGTGCTGGTTGAGAATCTGTTTCTGAAATTGTGGGTTCTGGTGCAGGTTTAGAGGAAGCCTCTGATCCTTTGGGCTTCTGCTTCTTAACTGCAAGTTTGCTGATTTTCTTTTTGCCACCTAAGTTCCTCGGAGGCGGCTTGCTGACCGTCTCCTTGTCCAGACCAAACTCCAGCATCACAGGTTTTGGCTCCGATAATGACTCCATCGTCTCTGCTTCTGCTGAAGCTGCTGAATTGGCCTCGCAGTCAGACAATGAGCTACCGAGAGGCTCTAGTCTGGGGAGAGAGCTCGGACCGCAAGGCGGGGGAGAGTTCTGTATTTTAGATCCACCGCTTGTGAAGGGGTTAAAGCTGTCATCCAGCTGGTCAGGGTTAAATTTGTACGAGGCCTGGGGAACAGGAAGTTCTTCTTCCTCATTGGTTTGGGCGAGCTCATTCATAGAGGTCTTCAGCTTCAGCGATGGGGGCTTGGACTTACTGGATTTAGTCTTTTGAACAGGTTCTGATTTTTCCAGGTCAATGCAAACTGGTTCTGTTTTCTGAACAGTGGGCTCTGAAGCTGGTTTGGACTCAGGCTCACTGCTTTGGATTAGGTCTGGCTCCGGAATTTGAGCAGAAGCAGGAGGAGGTGCAGGAGCAGGAGCATGAGCAGGAGCAGCAGCAGAAGGAGGAGCAGGACCAGGAGGAGGTGCAGGAGCATGAGCAGGAGCAGCAGCAGGAGCAGGAGCAGAAGCAGAAGGAGGAGCAGGACCAGGAGGAGGTGCAGGAGCAGGAGCAGGAGCAGGAGCAGGAGCAGGAGCAGAAGCAAGAACTGGAGTCACATCTGTGACAGGATCTGCAACTAGGACAGGGACTGGTGCTTGGTGTGGCTCAGACTTTGGCACTCTGCATTTGTTAGCCGCTTCGGGCATTTCCTTCACTGAGAATGCAGCAGCAGGGTCTGGCACAGAGCTCGAGGCTTCTGGGAGATTCTCTGTTTGCTGCGCTTCCAGTGTCTGGATGTTTACTTCTAGCGGGCCACCCATGGGGACCGTCGGCTCATCCTGACCCATGTTGTGTCTGAGAAAAATATCCTGATCCTCGAAAGGAGCAGTCACTATCAGGTGCTCCTCCTGATCCACATCTGGTCAAAGAAATTAGATAATAAAACATTAACCAGAAAATATATTCATTTTTATAATGATATGGACCTATGGGTCTGAAATAAAGTATAAAGTAAAGTATATTTAAATCAGCATGTACAGTATTTCTGCTGATGATCATCTCTCCAATCAATCTATACTCAGATGTAGGTGATGTCTGATTGGTTACAAGCCAGCCAACTGATCCAGTAACTGCTGTTGCCATGGTGATGTCTTACTATGAGGGCTACAACATTTAAACCAAGTATTTCTCAAGAGAGTAAAAAGAGAGATATGATTTATTTGTTTTGTGAACAACAGGGGACAGAGGTGGTGGTTGTGTAATTATTGCCTCCAGGGAACAGTTTGACACATCACCATATTTCAATACGGCTGTCATACTCCCATATTCCTGTAATATTATGTTGCTAGGATACTAGCACGGCCTGCTGTGTTTCTACCTACTTCCTTTCAGATTAGTGTGTCGCCAGAGTGTCACCCTCAAAGTATTCCTGCAATCCGACATGCCAAGAGAAACATGTTCTCACTAAATCCACCACATGCATATTCAATAGGCAGGTATAAGATTCCTGTTTTTGTTCTCTCACTGTTGTGTTTGTAAAGGCAAAACATGTCAGAGCACGGGGACATGCCACTTAGCTTCCTTGAAATAATACCTCAACCATGGGGTGTAATATAAATTTGATAAACAAATTGTTTTGTTCATCATTTTCTTTCTTGTTTTTAGTATGACTAGTACCACTCTGTTTGTATTGTGTATATTTATGTCGCTTGGTGAGCTGTAAACTGAATTGCTCTACTGGGATATATAAAGTTGTATAAATCTAGAGCATCTTCCTGTGCATTGTAGCTGTTTTTTTTTCAGCCAAACAAACATTTATATTGTGATGTTCTTGAGCTGAAAGCAACATTTAGAATATTTTTTTAAAAACCAAAACATCACAAAACAGTATAAACTGTACATGTATTACCTCAGTGGAGTGGCTTTTACTACATGACAAATACAACACAACACCCAAGTATCAGTGTTATCAATTAAGGTTAACTTTTTGTTTCTATCATAGTCTCTAACCCTGCAATAAATCGTAATAATATTTATCTAAATTGAATAATATACACACTGATGCTGAAGCAGTAACGGAGACTTTGGATGCATTCAGACAAACACAGCCATCAGCATGTTCATGTTGAAGTTTCTTTAGTGGCATTTTAACGAAACGCTGCCGGGATTTTACTCACAGCCGCAGCAGAAGCAGATGTTTGTGGTTGAGTCAAAAGTGAACTCCCTCATTGCTCCATACAGATTAACTTTTACAATGTGCACTTTTGGAAAATCTTCTTTTTTTTTTTTTCTTTTTTTTAACATTAACAATTTAATTTTAGAAAATAAGGAACTGCCCCACATAAACAAATGGCCTCCTACATCTTAAAGAGTCAGATAACAAGCTTTGTTCAGTCCCTCCCTTCACTGTGACCTCTATCAGTAATCAACACAAAACAGGGGGGAACCAAAGCTTTTGTTGAACCTGTTGAATTCCAGAGCAAAGGCCATTCCCACACTGACTCTACTTTAAGCTCCGCCTCTTAGTGATTCAAATGACAGTGATGCTTCTGCCATCATCACACCCAAAATCCTCTTAGGGTGCATACCAGCTCACATACCAAGCATGCAGGATATGTTTAGGTAATCATTAGCCTTAGGTGCCTGTAATAAAACACTGAAATTACACATCTGTATGAGCCATGAGTAGATCCAATATTCTCTTATTGGTACAGTGCTTTAAAAAAAGGCAGGTAAATTCCCCTTTTAAGCTAAACTGCAACAGGTTGGTACATTCCTAAAACAGTCAGACTGCACATGTATCCAATTACTCTGACATGGAGAACCTGACTCCTAGTTCAGACACAGAAGTAGAATTTACAATGCCCGAAAGTTCAAATCACATTTTCTTTAACTAATAACAATGGCTTAGGCGTACGATACATTTAGAATTGTTTTCCCTCTCATTGAAGAGAGACAAACACTGCACCATGATGTAATGTGGGTTCACTCACAATAACATTAAAAGACTCTTGTTTCCATGGCAACTCAAAGAAGGGACCCCCCCGTCTACACTATGTTATGTGTGCTTGAAAAGGCACGTCTTCCAACCTTTTTTAGATTCTGCAATTATAATGAGAACTTTCTGCAACTCCAAGGTAGCGTGTTTACGTCTCAGAGAGTATGCTGACTCTACCTCTGTTTATCTCTCTCTCTCTCTCTCTCTCTCTCTCTCTCTCTCTCTGTAAGAGTGTGTCTTTTATGCTCAGCAGTGGCCTCACCAGTTTTGCCTGCATCAGTGTTGTTGTTCTCCAGCTCTCCTGGGATGGTGGGAGGGGCGCGGACAGGAGTTGCTGCTTCAGGAGTGTCAAAATGACCCTCTGAGTCAGAGCTGTGGAGGAGAGACACGGAGAAAGAGAGCATGAAGTTTCCAAATATTCAAAAACATTAGACTGTTGGATGACGGACTGATACTTGCATAACTGAGGAGTAAATGCTGAAACTATGTACACTCAGACAGTTCTAACAGGCAGTGTAACTGTAAACAACACCTGAATAAACAGAACTGCACTTACAGCAAGGACATGTGCTATGTGAGCAAGTACAAGACCATAGTTTCTGTCAGATTTAGAGCACCAGAGTATAAGACAGCGTTTAACAGCCTTTTAAACCTCTTTAAAGTTAATGTGTTCTTTCATGCGAGACAGATGCTCCCTTACAAAGCTGTTTGGAGGGCTGAAGCCAACCATGTTTAGGGTATAAAGATTGAGTAATCGAAAGAGGAAATGAAGCAGCCAACTCCTTCCTGTAACATCAAACCTTTACAGTTTGAGGTATAACACTGAGCAGCATACGAGTTATTTGCACATCCATCTTTAAATAAGATTCAATAACAGTACAACTACATTCTAACATCGTAGTGCAGCGACAGAAAGTGATGTGATCTGATCACTTCAGGGTGCCACATCACACTGTAGTTCAGATATCCACGTGGCTCTGATTCAATAACTGCTGATCAACCTAGAAAGTGTGAACGATTTGTTTACTGAGTTGAAAACAATGGTTGAGATCACATCCGAGCAAACACGAGGAGCAGAGAGACAGTAAGGCATGTGCCATGTTTGTGAGCAATGATTACATCATTAAACTACCTGGCTGTAGTGTTGGGAGTGTGTGCTGCCACAGCAATGAGGATGTACCAGCGAAAACATTCAGAACAGTTTAACCACAGCAAGGCCGGAAACATGTCAGATCAGCTAGAAGACATTTGACATTTCTGCATGCAAACACAAATCCTTGATGCAAAAAAGGAACAGACACGTTTTTCCATCTGCCCTTTTCAACTAATATTCAGAATGTAAGAGGTTCCTCGACCTGACAGGTGGACAACACAAGCACACGTGATCACACATGTGAATATGCAAGTCCAGACAGTGTGAATCACAGTTTTAGTAGTCTCTGGGGCTCCAGCACAACACTTGCCTGCAGCTTAGAGATCTCTCCTCCTCCTCCTCCTCTTCTTCTTCCTCTCCTCTCTCTCCAAATTGCTCCCTCTCTCCGCTGGCCTCCTCCTCTTCCTCTCCACCTCGTACTGCTGTCCATGTCCATTTGGCCCATGACACTGGTGACAGCCAAGACATCCCTCCGTTTCTTTACCAAGAAGGTTCTTCAACCCTCTGCTGATTCAAGTTTTCAGTAGATGGGGTTTCCAGAGTGAGTCTGACAGATCCTTTTTTCTGTGTGTTTCTTCCTCAGATTCCCACACTGCCAACAGCTTTCACATCTTTCCCAAGAGCATTTCTCTTCGTGTGAGTTCTATTTTTCTCATGAAAAGGAGAAAACATGTCTCTTCCGCGCCTATATTTTCATGTGCTTGCTCATAAATTCAAAAGAAATTGCAGCTGCTTTCTCTATCTTCTCTTGTTTTTCCAGTCACGCACCCCTCTTCCTCTGCCTCAGTCGTAGAATACCTCAGCTCTGATCAGCTGGCTTCCCAAATGCTGCTCTCACTCTCTCCTCCTCTGAAACCCCCCTCCAACTGTTCCCCTCCACCTCGGGCCGATCCACTGACAGAAAGCACAGCAAGGGGGGGCAGGAAGCTTGAAGCTCTAAAAACAAAAACAGCTTCTCCGCACTCAACCAAGTGAGCTCCCCTGTGGTCGGAGAATGGTACGTCCCTGTCAAACCGCTCGTGCACTCTGAAGCAGGAGGAGGGAGTCAAAAAAACAAACACAGGAGGAGGAGGAGGAGGAGCTGAACTGTTGGGGCTCCACTGTCCACACTTTATAGCCCAAAGAGGGGATAGGAATGTGGGGCTGGATTTTTAAGCTTTCTCTGCTCCCCCAGGCAGTTTAACAGTTAACTGTCCCTCCCATCCAGTGGCAGGCAAGCATGACCAGGGGAACCAGTTATGTTGGGTAGCCTCAGGAGATCTACCTGGCTGGATTCAATTTGTCTGAGGTAACAGTTCAAACCACAGCGCTGACAGGGAATAATTGCCTTGAATACAATAATAATGGAAGCTTAAACCCCATTGTACCATCTGACACATGTACAATTTTTTTGAAGTCATCAAGGAAAAGGAAATGAAAGAAAGCCTCACATCCCTTCCCATGTTTTGCACAAGAGAATGTTTCTAAATAAACAAATGCTACCAAAATAAAGCCAAAAGACATTAACTTGAGTTAGTCAACAGAGGACTTTCATGTAAATCATCTATGACATGTGAGAGAAACAAACTTCATGAAAAAAACTGCTACAAGTTACAACGACTAAAAATGATCTATTGCTAATATCTGGTTCAGATATTACAATTACATTTTTTTGTGATCAGTGCTCTCAATTTAGTACCCTCTGACCAGTGGTGTTCCCCAGGGCTCCATATTGGGCCCATTGCTGTTGTTTTTTACACACACTATCATACAAAGACATTCAGACTGCAAAGACAGCATTTAAAGTAATTGTCATATGGATCACATCCAGATCTATGTACCATTTAAAAGCATAGAAAAACCTTGTCTTATCTTTAAGAAATCCAGGGCTGGAGGTCCCAAAATGTCCTAAAGCCAAATGAATACAAATCCCAGATTAATTAGTATTTGGTAGTTCCTGGTTAATAAACACTTGAAGAATTAATTTTATTTCATCATTATTATTTTTCTTAATTGCTGTTCACCTATGGGCCACAGTGCATCCCAACATCCAAAGGCAGGTCAATGCATGTTGTTCCTAGGTCTCTTAAGAGTAGAGAATACCAAGCTTTTGCCTGAAATTAACCTAAACCAACCTAAGCTTGCAGAATCAGAGACATACTTTAATAATAAAAATTCAAACTCATCTTTCAAGAAATTGGTTAATGACATGGATAAGTTAATTGAAAATTGTATATTTTATGCCTTGCAGTGTATTTGAGTAAATGCAAATTCACAGACAGGCAAATTCACAGACGTTAACATCGATATTATTAGTAAAGAAAAACTGCCACTTTGAGGTCCTTTACAGGTATTTAAAGTGTGTGCATTTAGGCTAATATGATTTAGTACATTTACAATAAGTCCACCGGGATTGTGTACCTGAGAGTTTTGGTTTTGTGAGCCTATTCATAGAGCCTGATAATGCATCCTCTGTGTATTGTTTTTATAAAACTCTTCCCCCCTCCAGAAGCTCCTTCAAGGTCTGGCTTGGCCATGCAGCAACTAAACTCCTCCCAAATTCCACCAGAGAAGCAGAGAAAATCGTGCCTCAGTCAAGCTCAGAGTTTCCACATGGAACCAGAAAGGGTGGGGTTCGTCCTTTGCCCACTTATTAAAAGTCTGGGTCTGGTGGAGCTTGAGGCGACAGTTAAGGCACAGGGAATCTCTGCTTGCATTTATTATGTTCAAGTAGTAGTCGGGAGGTAGTACAAAGACATTATCACATCTCTCTCTGAGTCAACCTTTTCCTTTATTCTGGGGTTTGTATCTCTTTCTTGTATGTCATTAATAATCACCAGGCTTCTGAAGTCATGAGTCACAGAGGAGAGCTGAGGCTTATTGGAACAAAAGATTATTTTCTACATGCACAGCATAGACAGCCAATAATCCTTCATCAACACGTTCAAATAAGTGATGAAGTAACAACACCTGAGAAAGTCTGACAGAGGTTTGTTTTCCTGCATCTGTAGAAGTTATTTTTCTCCATGTCTGTCAATGAAAAGAGCATTAAACTCTTTGTTTCCACTGAGTTGCTGTTTATTCTGAAGTGCTCTCTGCACCAGTGGTTAGCCAGAGGCCAGTAGGTTACATAAGAAAGGGATCATTTTACCATCTCTAACAGAAAATCACAACTATTTACTCAGAGTAAATCAAAAGAAAAAGAAACATGAGCAACACAAATTTTCTCCACCCAGTTCAAAACACAGTAACAATGCTCACAGACAGCAGCTCTACATCTGCTTGTCTAGTCTAAAAATGGCATCAATAAACATTAGTAGGTACCTTGACGAAGCAGCTGTGTGTTTCAAGATAAAGCCCCATATACTTCAAAGCTGTTCTACCACCACCACCACCACCACTACAACTCCTGCCAAGGAGCCTGATGCTCCACCAAAAGCCAAACAAAACTCAAAAGATCTCAGATTTCAAACACACTGGGAGGACAAAAAAAAAGTCATGAATATTGAAAGGAAAGAAAAGCAATCTGGCTCTTTTCTACTATTGTGAAGTTATTCTGAATTGCTCAAACTCTGCCTGTCTCTGTAAAATAAGACTCAAGACACATTTATTTTAAGCCTCAATGTCAGGCCTCACATCCAGTGACAATAGTTATTCTCTGTAACTTCACATATGATTCAGAAGGAATGCAGTGATAACATGAGCACATAAACCCGATATAGTTACACTCTGTTAACACTACTTTAAAAAATCCTTTCCATAGTTAGAGACGGTACTCGTTTTCAAAGGCCAATTGTGGAGCCACCACCAGCCCTTTGGAGGTGTAAATAAGACACACATGCAGAGGAAGGAAGTAAATGACAAAATGAGCAGAGGAATTTGTGTATGTGTTTAAGAAACAGAAGAAATAGAGGAAGGCCAATGGAGAAAAAGCAAATGAGACAATGTTTTCAACACTTAGACTATGTTAGCATACAGCCGTCCTATTTTTGCCTACTATAAGGGACAAAAAGGACTCGTCGTAATCGATACTGGGAGCAAATAGCAGAATCAACGTGCCACACTGACATCTAGTGGTGATAAAGCAGAATTACATGTTAATAACGAATGCGATTGTGAAAACGCTGCTTACCTATTTGTATGATTTGAATAATAAATTAAGAGTTAAAAAAATAAATCTGTAAAACATATATAGGCTAGGCTACTAAGTTGCAGATATTTCGATAAGCTACAGCTGGAAATCTAAGAAAATTGAACAATAAAAAGACAGTTTGAAGCCAATTACACTTCTGAATGGCAATACAAAGCTAAGCTAACCCTCATACGAGCATACATTACAGGCTAATGTCATCAATGCCCTCCTTAATAATAGAAAAAAAAACAATTAGGTAGTCAAGTGTCAACAGTAGGAGCAGATAAAGTACAATATGTAGTTTTGTGACGCTTGCCGGGCTCCATAGTTATTTTCAGAAACAATTTAGAAATTGAAAAATAATTTATGTCCAAATTTCGAGCTACAACTAGATTCAATAAAGTTTCGACTGGTTCGATGGGGGGGCAGCAGAGCTCTCCGACTCCCGAGTTGTGCACATTTTACACAAGTCCGCCAAACCAGAGGAAGAAGCACTTCCGCTGTGACGTAGATAGCTGTAATGCTAAATGGCGGTTGCGAACAGGCGGGACAGTAAACATAACATCAGTTTTAACTGTAACTGTCTTATTATCAACAAACATGTACTCAGCTCTGCTGGAAACACAGGGCAGTTACAAAATGTCTATTTTCAACTTTCAGGTCGGTTCATGTGCCGGGCTGCCGAGGAGGAGACGAAAACGAAGCAAAAGTTAATGTACCTTACTGTTACGAAGCTAATGATAATGTTAGCTTGGTTTAGTGTCCTGCGTTGAACGATTCATTCATAAACTGAACTATAAGTTTTGCTGCCCAAGTGCTACGTCTTTCGCAAGACTTTATTTCGCTGCCTGAGCAATACGGTTGAATGTTTTCGTCTCCAGTTGAACTGATGGAGAAGGAGGATGGCGAAAAGCAGACTGACTTCGCTGATCTCCGGCTGAGAGTGGAGAGTTTAGTGCAGGAGCTCAGTGAGTGCCGGGCCGAGCTGGACAAGTTACACAAACAACTGAACCAGTCAGAAAGGCTGCAGAGGAGCACCGAGAGCTACAACGAGGACCTGAGGAAACAGGTCAGCGCACGACTACCTTTATATAATAAATAAGACGGGCCTCTTTATGCAGGTGGCTCAGAGCTTTTCAAGACAGTGTGTTTGTTTATGCACACAAAAGGGGGCGAAAAGGCCCTTCATTTGTGTCAATATAAAACACTCTTAATATCAGACCTAGAGCTTATAAATCTCTCCAACTTAAAAAAAAAAATCAGTTTGGTAAAAATGGAAATATTACCTTGTATGCTATGCAATATAACTTTATTTTGTATTGTCAGATATTAGAAAAATGCTTAGCAGATCTTGACACATCTCACTTTGTTGTAAGTCTTAGGTTGTATAATTAAAACAATACTTTACTAACAGTTTTCAATACAGGTAAAATTATGCTTTACAACAGACAATAAAAGCAACCATGGCAGTAAAATAAAACAGACAATAAAAGCAGACTGCAGTGTTTCCCCTACCATTATATTGGGGGGGGGCGGCCCCGGCCCCCGGCCCCAATATATACATATTTATTTTTGGGCTTTTTGTGCCTTTATTGTAGAGATAGGATAGTGGATAGAGTTGGAAACCAGGGAAAGAAGTCATTTAAGGATACCTTTCCGATAGAAAAGGACAGCTGTCATTAAAAGTAACACATGAACACCAAGATTCCTTCAAGTGTTTGTGTCGTCGTGTCAGCATGTCGGCATGTCCCCACTCCCCCCCCCCAACAACGCTGTAAACCTAGGGGAAACACTGAGACTAATAGAATGCAAGATTAAATGCAAAATGAAACCATAGG